GACTCGAACCTGCAATCTTCGGATCCGAAGTCCGACGCCTTATCCATTAGGCCACAAGGCCGTCTCCAGGAATTGCTTACCATTAAAAATTGATTTTTGATTAAAATTTAAAAAATCAGTTTTGTTTTCGTTTTTTAAATGATTAATTTTGCTTGATTTGGCTAGAAATAATTTAAGAGCACAAAACAGTTGTAAATGATAAAGTTATGAGTAATGTATTCATAGACCAAAAGTGATGTGATCAAAAATATGTCAAAGGTTGCAGGTCAATGCTCCTAAAGTTTGATCTTTGTTTTCGCATGACATGCAAGGAATAATTTGGGTTCATTGATTAGATGATAAGCGATGAAAGCAGATATCTCACGCATTTTATATGAATGTCTTACTTAAGAGGCATTTATATATCTGACTTTGTAAGTAAACAATGATTGATTGTCTGCTTTATAATGCAAATTAAGCATTTTTGATTATTTTATTTATTTTAAGAAGCATCAAAACAAACTGATACGTAATAAAATGTTTGGGATGTAAGCTGATTTTTCTTAAGTGAACTTAAATTTGGTTATCAGTCAGTAATTGAGCGATATGATAAGTTGCATTTGCTTCGGATTAGAAAGTATTGAATCTTTCTGAATAAAAATTTTATCTTAGATCAAAGTGATAATGTAGATAACGTGATTGTAGTTGACGTGAAATATGCATGTAGCTTTTACCTCGCATTATCTCTTCTGTCAGCAGTTCATTGACAGTTTCATCGATGGACGTCTCGATCTTTTCACTTGCTTCTTTAATTACTCGAATTGCTCTTGCTGTACTGAATTACACCTTACATACATTAATTTTAATAGTTAATTAATATAACAAAATTTCGAGGTAAACAAATTCGAATTTGATTATAATTCAGATTTTTAAATTATCAAAAATGAAATCATTGCAAGCAAATTTGAGTGAAATGTGAGCACATTTTAAGTGCATTAATTTTAATAATTTTTTTTATATATTGTAAAAGCAACAATTTTGTAGTAATTACAAAACGATTCTCAGTTATGTAATTTTACAAAACTATTCTCAGTTATCTAATTTTTTCATCTATGGTTGAATAGAGCAGTGCGATGTGATATACAACGAAAACGATCTACAGCTTAATAATTACTTCAAACTTGTCAATTCAATTCTAAGTTTAAAATTTGTAATTCAATTCAGATTTGCTTAATTGTATAAAAATGCTATTACGTATTTAATAGACAAATAGCGCTTTTCAGTATTCCACGCTGAATAAAATTGCCAAAGGTATGAATTTCTGAAGAAATATTAGACTGAATGCTTTCCGTCTCTGACGATGTTTCTCCATCAAAATACCCATCAGAAGTATGGGAAAATATTAACGACTCTTCTCTCAACATACTACCATTCAAAATTAATTTATGCTAAAAAATAATTCATATTTTCCAACAATTTATTCTTTAAACTCATCATAAATCTTCAATATCTGCATAATATGCAAAAATAATTATGCTAAATTTTGAACTAAATATAATGTTTCTTGACTATTTCGATAAACTAATTGAAATTTAGCATAAATAAGTTTTGATTATAACTCAACAAAGTATTATCTTTGATATAAAATACTAATAGGGCATGAATAGAATACAAAATAATCATATGCAGTACAAACAGGTTTCAAAGTATAAAGCTTAAGCATAAATTAATCCCGCGAAATTTCTTGAATGCTTGCTTAGCATTGACATGAATTATTCATTGCGAAGTAATACAAACAGTAAAACTCGAAAAGCATTGAAAATTGATGGATGATTTTGCATAATTCACAAGGGTAATAAATGGTATGCTTATATAACAACGGCTAAGCAACTGACACACATATCAGATCTAATACAGCTTTGATAGAAGTATGATAGATCAGTTTAAATTACTTAATTATTTAGTCACAATTTCGCCAGTGATATAAGTATTCTTATAAGTAAATTACTTATAGTAAATGAATATTCTTAATTTACTACAAGTAATAATTGACTTGTAAAAAAGCAGCAAAAAACAACAAAAAATGCTACAAAATGAATAAATGTGATAAACTGTAAGACATGAAAAGACTTTAAATTTTCAATCTTTATCTCATATTTAAGGAAAAAAGTTAATCAATAACTTAATAAAAGTTCTATCCTTAATTACTTTACATTATAGGCGTATTTTTAAGAGTTTTAGACTTAAACTTTTGCTGAAATAAGCTTAGCTCAAGTATGGCTGCAGATTGATAAGGAATAAATTATCGTTTTGTTGCAAAAAAAACTTGTTTTTTTCAGATTTAAAAATATTTTCAAAGCAATTACTACTGCATTTATGCATAATGATACACGCTGGATAACTTGAATACCAATAATCTTTGAGTAATTTTATTTTAAGAAAAACAGGAATTTATTTATCTTTTATATATAATTCAGCACTTTGTATTTATGCAATTTAAATTTAGAAAACAACATTTGCAAATCCTTTGCATCCATTTCTGCCAGCATTTCAAGTATGCAAATTTAATATGTCCTTTCAATTTTGCTTCCATACACCTTCAAATTCGAATTTTAGTTTTACTCTTATTATTATAGTGCAGAATTGAAATTTAGCATATTTATGAAAGTAATTAAGTTCTTTTCAAATTCTACTACTTGCAAATATTTATTATATTCGTTTGAAAAATTCACTTACGTGTTAAACTGTTTAATTACTGAAAATATTAATTTTTGACAAAATATTTTTTTAAATAGCTGTAATTTGAAAAAGAAATGTGCTAGATAAGTTTGATATAATGATTATTTCAAATACGGGTTATCTTATCAATGTGCTAATTCCATCTTTGTTTTTGCTTCATTCTTATTCTGGCAGTAAAATATGAATACGTTAGAATTTTGCTGATGAAAGCATTAATAATTTTCAGAATGAGCTCTCTGACCATTGCAACTGTGCATGATTCAAATTTGGCTTGGCTTTCGCTTAGTTTGACCACCTTTTTGTTCCTTTTTCTTGACGGTATTTAATGGCACTCACTTTTAACATTGTATATTTTCCACAGTTCATAACAAACAATAATATTTATGGATTGTATAGAGCAGTTTTAGCAAAAACATTCAGATTTTACTTTCTGAATAATGAAGCGCTAATTTTTACTTCAATAATTTATTTACAATTTATAAAAAAATTCAATCGTATTACTCAAATAGTTAAAAATTATTAATTCAATTCATTGTCATTATTCTTTTTTGTATTATTAATTTATGTCATTCTGCAGCTGATGGTCAAAATCCATGCCTAACTAATGCTGCCATGTGTAATTACAATAAGTTACCGTCATTGCTGCCACGTTTACGTTACTCACGTTTACTCGTTTTGGGATCACGTAGCTATGGTGACAGAGCTGCTAGTACTGGAAATGTTTACAGCAATGAACAAATAGTTAATCCTTCAAATATTGAAAAATTTGACTTGAGAGAAAACAGTTCACCAGGAACCAATCCCTATAGTACAGGTGCTAGTTACCCAGTAAATGCACTGAAACCTCTAACTCAGAATCAGTTAGCAGTGCCACCAATAACAAATACCATGCAAACTGCATACCAACTACCAAATTATGATAATCGCCCGTTAAGTAATATTTATGGTGTGAATGAAGGAAATTGGCAACGTACAGGTAATTTAAATAGTCAACGTTTTGAAAAAGGGAAGGAAGGTTCTAATGTCTATGGATCTTCGGTGACAAATAGTGAGGACGATGACTTAGAACCTGATTTCGAACATCCCAAACCAAATTTCAATTATGGGGCACAACCCATTGTTGATGAATTCAATAAATATCATCCTCAAAGTTATATTCAGCCTCAACCTCAACCTCAGTTTCAACCTCAACCTCAACTTCTACCTGAACTTCAACCTCAATTGCCCTCTGCATCCCAATCACAGCAGCAATATTACTACCAACAACCACTTAATATGCAACGTTTCAGCACTGATAATTTTGGGTATTTTTTTGTTTTATAAAAATAAATAAATGTTGCATAATTCATCTTCTGAAATCCAATAATTCTTTAAAAATTCCTGGAAGATCATTTAAAAATTTTGTAACTATCTTGCTCTGGCATGCAACATTGTGAAAAATATTTACTGAATTCAGAAAGAAGGAGGTATTTCAGAATAAATAACTGTGGTCAGGCAATCACATTTGGAAGATGTCAATCACCTCAGGGATACTACACCGGGAATAACTTTGGAATGCCTCATCAAATACCTCAAACAAGTAATGCATGGAGTAGACGTTGTTGTTGTTGGCATAAATTTGGTAGCAGTGGTTATTATGGTACACATGGTTTACCATATGACAAAGGTTACAGTGGAGATGCAACAAAAGAATCACCCATATCATCATTAAATTCAGATGTATCCACAGGATATTATACTGGTGGAGAAGGTGCTAGAAGCTATAATTGGAATGGCATTAGACGACAAAGTTTGTCAAGTGTCTCTCAAATTCCTGCAGTGAATGAATCCTTAATTGTGAACCTTTTGAAGCCTATGATGAGTGATAAAGTAGAAGGCGAGTTTCCTTCAGGTATTTCCATTGGTGTCGCAGATATGAGTGAGATTAAAAACACGAGTAACGTTGCAAAAAAACTTATCAATCAAAATGAAACAAATATTAATCGAGAAAATGTGCAAAAAACTGCAAAATTTATTCAACAACACAAAAATATCACGCCAATAACACTTTCAAGTAAGCTTAGCTTAATTTTATTTCCAAAGTTTTAATTTCATTTTCCCTCAGAAGCAATTTAGTTAGAAAGTGATAAACCTCTTGCAGATATCCAAAGTTTAAATCAAACTTCCATGCATAAATACTCAAGACTGCATAAAAAATACAGTACTACGAGCAACAAAGAAAATGCTTCGAATGATACGATTATTTTTAGACACGTAAGAATACTTTTGTTACTTTTCATTTCATATCAGAAATTTTATGAAATGCATAAATTTTATATCAAAGTTATCATCCAATCATTTGGAAAAGTCGAAGTCTATGTTTGCAATTTACTAACGATTGACAGTTGCTTCAATGTTCTGTATTAATGAAGCAAATTGCTTTTGTACAAAAAGTTATAACTTCTTCAGATTGTAGCTACAAAAGCTACAATCTGAAGAAGTTATAACTTTTTGTTTTTACATAATTTTAAAGTTATTTTTGTTATCCAAGTAAATTATCAAGTTATCAAAATTAAAACCGTAAAAAGCCACTTATAAGAATATGACATATCTCATTTATGTCTGAAAACTTAGTATTTTCAAATTCAATCTAACGCATTTAATATTCTTTTCTTTAAATATCAAATTTTATTTTGACAATTTCGTACTCACAAATATCAGTTAAATCTGCTAAGTGCTAAAAATATATGACAATTGTTTGAAGCCAAAATAGTGTTTGTTGAAGTTTTCTTATGCAATGCATTTAAACTGAAATATTAGCAGTGATAAATATCTGAAAGAACGAAAGACAAATGCCAAATTCAACTTTGTAATATTTAAATCTTTTTAAAAAATTGCATTTTTCTCAGTAAATTTAATAAATAGATTCTTAATAAGAAAGCGTTAGATTCAGTTGATTATTATTTGATCCTTCGCTTGGCATTCAGTAAAATACAGACTGCTTAGACTTACTTAATTTAGCTTCAATCAAATTATTTTCTAAATTTTAAATAATTTGTCAAAATAAGCCAATCCAAAACAAACAAAATATGCAACTTCTACTTAATCTGTATTAATATCTCAGATAAATTTTAATTTTTTGCCAAAATCTCTTCATAATTTTGCTTTTTATACGTTTTTATTTTATTTGAACAAAATGGATGAATTTTTAATCAAACTGACTTGTATTGATTGAATTATTGTAAAACGTTAAAGTGATTATTGTAATTATTAGTAGAGATGTGATGAAAATTTTTGCAGCTTTCTAAAAGATCTGAAATTACTCATATATGCATTATTCTTATTCTATTCGAATGCAAATTTATTTCAGCAAGATGTGGATGCTAATCCTTCTGCACTGAATCGAACAAAGCTGTTTGGAAAGCGGAAAGCAAACGTACTTGGCGTGTATTCTCAATTAGAACCTTAAAATTCATTCAGATTTTTAACTTTCTTCACGTTTTTATGCTTTCTTTTGATTTTTGTTTTTATTTTCAATGCATCCTTGTATACTTGTTGATATCTCATTCTTTGCTATAATTTTTTAAATTTTTAAATTTTCATATCAGACAAAAATAAAGACTGCTGGCCATTCAACACTATTTAAAACGCACATACCTTCAGTAAAATAAACAATTTTTAAATATTTTTCTTCTTTTCCTTCCCGCCAATTTTCACATTTTTATGAATCAAATTTGATTGCGTTTGAAAGATTTTTATGCCAAATACAATTTTAGTGATTAATTTTTAGCATTTTTTGCTTGTAGACATCAATTGCCTAAATGTAAGTCCGCAAATGTAGGAACTGCAGTACTCGTCAGCAGACTTCACATCGCAGTTATTAAATTAAATTTGTTTGTTTGTTCTAATTATGAAGTCTGTAATGTTTGAGTTATGAATACTTGGCATTAAGTTTAACTATTAATATGACAACAAGGGATGAGAAAAGTATTCTTAATTATTGTGAATCTGAATCAGGAAATTATGCTATCAACAGTTCCACACTGCATTCTGTAACTACTAAAGCTCCTCTCTCTGAAGCATCAATTTTGAATCCATCATAAACTCTACATTTCATCTTTCCAATTGCATGAAACTTTTGACTTGAATGATTTGAACATTTTCAAAGTATATATGCTGTACATTAGAAACACTTCTAATTGGTCAGTTGAACATACTGATCAGTTTCTTGAAGATCAAGTAATCAAGTAAGTTTGGTCGTTAGATGAATCATTAAAAATACTGTACGAAATCTGGTTACTACTTTCGATATTTGTTGCCTAAGAGATACTGTATAAATCGAAAATTTTGAAAAATTTAAACAATAGAGCGTAAAAGGGAATACAGAACTGTACGACGCATTTTGTTAATCTTCAGAATGAAAGTTTTGCTATGCAAAAAGAATCCTTGGTAAAATTTAGGTTAGTCTCTGAATTACTGATTTTGGCGCTTGATCGTATTATGGCATTCTGGTTGTAATTGTCTCTTAAAAAAATAAGATTCTTAATTCTCTTTTTGCACGGTATTTTATTTTTGCCCAAAACTAAGTCAATCATTAAAAGCATCTGTTTCATACACTTAAAATGATTGCTTAATACATCAAAACAGAATCGAAATTCTTCCGAAATAAATCAATAATTCAATTAATTTACTAATTAATTAATGTTTGTACTTGCTTCAATAATGCAATTAGCTGAATCAAAAACTTATAAGTCACTTCAAATGTATTATATTTTTAATTCATACTTTTTTGTATTTATACTTTTTTAATCCAATTATTGGCATTAATTTGATACAGTAAATTCATAGTTCATTTCAATCTTCCTCTCATATTATCAACTATAATTAAGTAATCAAAAAGATTTCGGATATGAAATTATGTCATTCGTTTCTAAATTAGTGCTGCTTTTTGTCTGCAACATTTTTTCACGAATAATCACTATTAAAACTTACGTTATATCAAGTTCATCGTAAAATGTAATATACGATGTCACGTGAGTGATGTATGCGTATAGAACACAAATGAATGCTTACATAGAATCACGTAAATACTTCTGAAGAACAACATTTTGCTATAAATCGCTTAAGCAAAGAAATGGCGCTGCAACAGTACATATTGGCTGCTGTCCAATCTAGAAGTATTACTTTAATAACGACAGTTTTTTGTCTTAACGTTGTTGAAAATTCAAATTATCTTAGTAATGCATTAATTAGTTTTGTTTAGACGGAATTTTAAATAATTACTCGATGATACAAGCATGCGACTGTTTTCACACGTATCTTCACGTCATCTACGTTTTACATAAGACAATTAATTTAGCTTTACAAAAAGCCTTTTTTTTGGCTGATCGGGAATACATTAGATCGAGATTTTATTCCTTTGTCATATCATTTTCATAATCACATAGAATCACATAGATAACCACATAGATTTTTTTCTCCACGCTATTCTACACCAGTGCATTCTATTACCGCGCATTCTTTCGAATTTCACGTGAAAAATCTTTTACTTTTTTAGTATAGTGGAATAACGCAAGGAATCAATTCAAAATTTAGCTTTATTCTGTTTTCTACTTCAATCCGTTAACACTTTATTTTACAATTTCATTGTGCATGCTTGTATGGATATTATTGCGCTTCGATGCACTGTAAATTTCATTTTTTAAATATTTTTTTCACATTATAAAAGGATGAAATAAGAATAAGCCATATATTATTTTCACCGTGAATGACAAAAGAACTCGTACTATTTTTTCACGCGAAAAAAAGTAAAACGTGTAATAATTACATATTTTTTGCTTTTCTAAGTAAAAACGAATACTGTTTAAGTAAAAACATTTTATTGTTATTATTATGACTTCATACGTAAATAATTAATCGTTAAAGTGCAATTAAAAGCATTTAAAATATTATCATAAAGATAATAGTAATACTTGAATGATTCCGCATGCATTGAAAGTTCAGACGTCTGCGATTTCTATTTATGTATGCAAAAACGTAAAATCCTTTTAATATTAACTGTGAATTGAGAACTGACAAAATCGAGCATCGTTTCCAGCATAGATAGCAAAAAAATATGATATTTCATATCTGCAAAGACATAGCTTTAATTTGAGGTCATTAGTTTGCTTCAGTAAAATGTGTTGCTTTCCGTTCATGGTGCTTTTATATGAAAAAGTCAAAGCTCTTTCTAGTTTGAATTCAAATTGATGTCAAGCAGTTTTTTAAACGAATACTTGTTTTATTGTTATCATCATGAATTACTGCACTGTTTGTAAACTATGACATACTGACGTTTAAAGATACTACTGAATGAATCAAGTAAATTCTTATTCTTTCTACCAAATTCATTCTATGCTTCATTCATTCACGCAGCTGATTATGTAGTTTAAATTGAGTAATTTTTATCTTCAATTGATATATATATAAGTAATTTTGAAATTTTAATGCCATTGAAATTCAGGTTTTTTTGTTGCAGATGTGATTTTTCTACTATTACGACTTGTAAATATGGTAAAAATGAGTAGTGTATGAGGCGATAATAAAAATTTCAGGAATCAAGCCATGGAATCGCGCTCATCGATGAGATCTGAGGAACATTATAACAGTAATGAACGTAATGTTTATACTCAATGTGAATATAGCGATGGTGATTGTGATGCTATCTCATCTTCTAAACGGTCACCATTTTTTACACTTGGCAATCTGTTTTTAAATTTTAGCTCGAGCTTTCATCAAGAGTCATATATTCGTTCGATGCATGTGTGTGGAAATAATATTTGGTCCTGAACTGTTTTTATTGTAGTGCCGAACACAACCTCATGAATAATTTTCGAGAACAATTAAATTTGCATGTAAGACGAGAATCATTGAACACTTCCGATAACAAAATGCTTGATCAAGGTTCAGTTTCATGTAATCAGCTATGCCGCATTTTAAAACTTTAATTTGGTCGCGATGTTTGAGGTTGTTGTGTTAACATTGTTATGTGTTTAAAGTTTCTTTTGTAAGCCACATTACGTCAGCAAATTTAGTGTTCACTTTACGTAGCATAAATAATTTTGACTTCAGAAACATGATTTGATTACATGATTTTTCCCTTTTTAAGTCACAAAACCATTTTCATTTTTTTTATTTGAAAGTTAAAAGTTATGGAAATTCTCAAAAACTATTACAATGTAACGTACAAGAATCATAGAAATTTCATTAAATAAATGTAGATCTCGGCCATCCACCAGCAGCACATGACGCTCCTCCAGGAAGTTGTTTTGGTTCATTACAGTCGGATTCTTCACTTAGTGGGACATTTCGATCGCGATCGCGTTCAGATGCAACGACTTCACCAGTATCTTGTCGTCATAGTATGGGAACAATAGTATTATTTCCAAATAGAGCAGAAAAACGACCCAAAAGTAAGTTAAAGTAGTGAGCAGGAATGAAAAAATAATAATTGAAAAAATGAAATCTAGTGGAAATGTAAGTAATTCATTTGTGCTGAAATATCAACTTTATGAAATGTTCGTAATAATCACAACTGCAATAGCTTTTCAGAAATTCGTCATTCATCAAAATTAATTGGTGTTCATTGGCTAAAAGTTTCAGGTCATCATTTTCGTCCACGTAACGAGAGACATAGTGTATGTGTAACAGATCTGCCAAGACTGAAAAATACCAATTCTTTCTTGGAACCAAGTTCTTTATTCGTAGATACTGGACTTGCAAATGATTCAGTGATGAATAATGAGTGGCATAAACCGTCGAGCACAGTCGAAACAAGATCAGACATGTGGAATTCACCGGTACTTTTCGGTTACTTGACTGCAGAGATTTCATATATTTTGAATTCTTTAAGTTGTAGTAAATTTAGCTTTAATGATAAGTTTTTATTACTAGAGTAATGTAAGTTATTTTTCCGATGAGAACAATTTGTCGTTTAAATGTGATTATGAATCTAGCTTCATTATGAGATTGTAAATGTATAACACTACTATTTCAACTACTGGCTACAAATCAGTGTTAATCACATTAAGTGATTCCCAGTAGTATTTTTTAATTCATTTATTATTATTTAGTATCGGTGTACATAGAAACCTATTGTGAAACCTCTGAGCCATAGTAATGATTAGTTTTCATAATTCCTGTTACTCCCTTCCATTTTATTCATTCATTATTTCCATTTCAGTGTCAATTTAGTCCGTTCCCAATCGTGAGTGATCGACATGACCTAGTTGCAAAGCATCAAATATCCACTAGTAAATTTTGTCTTAATTCAAAAAATTTGATTTGAATAACGCATTCATGTAGTGCAAACGTAATGTTTTTATATCTGTACCAAAAAACTGATGCAGGATTTCTAATCTGTACATCAGTAACTGTTAATGTTTAACTTATGTTTTTATCTGCTAAAAAAAGTAGAGAGTCAATATAATATAATTGAATAATGCGAATATTTACAGAGTATGGTCATTACGATCAACGTACTCGACATACTGGATCGGAGCCGACATCACCTTTCAGCAAATACGCTATTGTTATCAAAGAAGTCAGTTTTTTTTCAAATTCTTTGCAACATTTCATTTCATAATTCAGAGTTTTTTCACCTTTGTTTTACATTACGCTTTCCAACTCAAAATCCATCTACAGTGCTCAAGTTTCAAAAAGATATAGCTGGCCAACAGAAGAAAATTACATTACATTTCCGTTTGCAGTATCTTTCATCGTTTTCTAAAAAATTTGTTATTCTTATAACAGCTGGAACGAGGAAGTGAATGAGATTCTTTTATTCTTTCCTGATATGATATCAGCAAGGAATACCCTTGTCTTTCCATGTTTACAGTTCTGTTTTTTATTTCTATGATACACTACTTATCGCCTTTTGTGATGTAAATTTGCAGATTACTAGGGTTCTGTAAATGTGCACTGCTTGAATGGTAGTAAGATATTGAAGTGATATTTGATAGAGAATGGAAGGATTTTGTGATATTTAAAATAAATAATGAGAAAAAGCATTAATGATTAGAGGAAAATATTTTTAGTAAGCAGAGATTAAGGCAGTTTTTTGTTTTGCTGAAAATAGTACTGATTTGCTATTAATTTTTGAAAGATTTCAAGAATTGCAGAAAGTATTCATAGGAATGAGCATTTAGTCAGTTAGTGTTCATTTATCTGTTTATCATCTTATCTCTTAGCCTAGAATTATTTTTTGATTACACTAGGATCTGTGTTATGTTTCGAATCAGTGTACCGTTTTGTGCTCTGGATTGTTCAGCAAAAAAATTGCTAGTTGGTCTGATTATGTTGGTTTGCATTCTAATCAACTCTTTTCTGTTATCATATTACTAAGGCATTGCATATGAGGTATTTTTTTTGTCAGATAGAGAAATAATGAGTGGAAAAATTGACGAGATAGCTCTGTACATCACAATAACAATGCATATTGCATGAAGTTGAGAGTAGTTCGTGAAGAGAAAGATCATGCGAGAGAACAAAATAGCAGAGATTTACCTCATGTTTCAGTTGTTGTTGAACGAAGGTTTGCTGGCACCTTTGCTGACTACTTTTGGGCTGATGTTAATATGGTTTGCCTGCATTATCGCATAAGTACTGGCTGTTTTAGGGATTTCTGTTTTTTCTATTATGATATCTGGAATTTTTAGAGGAGGTAAGTATTCTTTTCTGGCGGGTTTGCGTTCTAGTTGTCAAAGTTATTCTTATGATATTGCTTGTAGACAAGCAAGAAAGACGTGCTCCATTGTTATCTATCTCGTCGTGCTCAGTACAGTAATAAATGATTAGGCTAGCTTTGTGATTAGTTTATGTTCATTGCTTCTTTAATGAAAGAAACAACAGTTTACGTTCATACTTTCAGTGTTCCGTATGTTTCAATCGTTTCAGCTTGTTTCTTTAACTGACTAATTCCATAGGGAGCAGTAAGTCATTGTGTTCGTCTCTTTAAGCTCTCATTACTACTATTCAATGCAGTGTAAGTGAATGAGTATTTGTCTTCTAAATATGTTATTAATTATGTAACGAAGCAGAGTACTACTTGCATTTATCACTAGTCAGTCTGGTGGTGAGAATCGTAAATTATATCCTAAGAGTTGCAGATGAGATTAGTAGTAATGTGTGATAAGGTTTTATTAGCGTATACCTGGAGGGGTAGTTTGTTCTACTTATTGAGGCATTATGTCTTTCATATTCTCAACTATCGGAATGGATTGTGGATTAAGTTCGTTATCCACTTACTCATTCTCGCTTCATATTATCGTCCCAAGTGACTTATTAGGACTAGATCCAATTCTGAAGCTAAATTTGGTAATTTTGTTAGTATTGCTAGTAGTCATATGTTCATCAGGTTAGGAAGAGACAAATGTAGCCGAAGCTGATTTTAATCACTGACAGAGAGAGTTATGGGAGCAAAGTATGCATGAGATTTGGAATTCGAATGTAAATGTGTGGGTGACTTTACTGATTGTGAATAATTGATATTTGTTGGAGATGCTAATGATTCGTAGATGGCTTGAACCACGCAGAAGGACGGTGTCTCAGCTTGAATGTTTTATTATTTTAAGAACGAGTGCGGGCAGGAACAAGGAGAGTAAGTCGATGAATTATTGCTGCAAAATGTTGTGCTCCTCACTTATCTTTCCTTTTGTTGATAGACCCATCCAGGGGTTGCATCTATCTATCTATCTATCTATCTATCTATCTATCTATCTATCTATCTATCTATCCATCTATCTATCTACATCTGTCTATTGCAATCTTTTTTTTGCTTTCTATATAAGCAGAGAGTGGATAAAAGGATTAGTGCTAAATGTCGCTTGAGTCTTTCTGACAAGTAACGTGCTGGTCAGTCTTCGAGTTACTCTACGCGTGGCCTGCACTACATAATTATTCTACGCTTTTCCACCATCTCAATGTTTAATTTGTTCTTTCACTCCCTGTTTGTGTTTATTTGCAAGAAATAAAACGTTTTTCTTGCACTTCAAGCTCTTGCACTCAGTGTGCTTGTTTTCATTTGTTACAGTGGCACTTTTATTTCGGCCGCTATCTCTGTGACCTCACAGTTTCGTAGCATTCATTCGTATGCATGTAAGGAATTAGATGTAAAGAATCATGACATACATATCGGTACCAGAGAATCATTGAGTACAAAAAATTGCTTTTCATGACAGTAGACAATAGCTTACCTTGTGCTTTAGATAATTTGTTTTGTTAGGTTGTATGATTTATTGTATTGAAACGTTGTTGCTGGATGCCTTGCTGTGTTATCTCACTAATTAAGTCTTGTCATCATGAACACTTTAATCCTTTCAATGGTAGCACATTGGATAGTGCATAGGTAAATAGACTGTGTAGGCTGCGTACTTGCAGTTTGTCAGATGAAACGAAGAAAGCAATTATTCATTTTACACATGCATCAGAACATTCCTTTATTCGTTACATTTTATTTTTGTGTTTATTTAGTAGTGATTGTTGCTCTATCATTTCATTGATTTGGTCTCAGTTTTTTTTGTCTTCTTCGTCGTAAACAGTATTATCAGTATTTAGCTTGCTGGATAAATATCAAAGCTCGTAGTGATATGGACGTATATGTGGGCAGGAATTAATATAATGTGATAATACTTGTTTGCGTAGTGATATGCGTGAGGAGCAAGTTTAGAAAGCTTGGATAGAAATGGTGATGAGAGGCAGAAATGTCACCCGAAGTAATAATGAATCATTTTTAGGTAGAGTGCTAGGATAATGCATACCTTTAGTATACTTGAGTTGGTGATTAAGTGCAGATGGCACCGAAATAGACAGCTAATTCAACTCCGATGATGATGGTGGTGCTGGCTAGTGAGGTGACAGCTTTGTCTGCAGTACCAGTACCACAGAACGAGAAGATTTTGTGACTAGGTAAGGTAGGTTGGTGTTAATGCTTTTTGCATAACTGAATGAATGAATAGAGGAAAGAGCGGGCCTTTGCTTTCGTGGATAAATCAAGCAGTTATGAAGTGAGCAGATGTCATCATGCACTTGCGTATGTGAATCAGGTATTAAAGCTTGTGATGCGTGTCAGGGAATGGTTGAATGATAGTTGAGAGCAAAAGAACTGAATTGCATGCATGCGACTGAGGCTCAATCTATGCTTGTTCATTCTTACGCGTATTGTTATGCATGAGGGCGTTTAGTAGTCTGTTGTGCTTTAGGCGTGATGACATGCACTACTGTAATCAAATTTATAGCTCTGTTATTCACAACTTACACTATTCACGCCATGAGGCTTATGTCGAAGTAGACGGTATTAGCAGCTCTCTTCTCATTTTCAACTGCATATTCCCTATGTAGTAGTGCAGCTTAATTTAATATAGCGCTTACGATGCAATGATTATATCATCTATATTATTAAGTGCTACTGCATATTTCCTGCCATAGAGAGAGACTATTGGTCAAGGGGTGCGAAGCACTGCAACTTGCATCAAAATGCTTGCGTTACTTGGCATGGGCGTGGAGTATGCTGTGAATAACGCCTGCCGGGACATTTATACGTTGTATGCGTATGTGTGAACATGCATGATATGGCTGCCCATAGTGGGTTTGAGCTTCACTTCGCTAGTTTGAGTTTGAGCATATGTACTGCTGGGTTGCCTGAATGAGGGAGTGGAAGAGGGAGTAACGAGGTGCACAGCAAAGAAAATTGGAAGTGACCATCGTGTCACTAACCTTAATTTTAGCGGTAATAAATAAGTTTCTGAAAAAAGATTCACTGACAAGTCTGTCTCGAAGTGATTGCTTGTATGCATAATAATGTTTTTGTGGTGTGTGTATGTGTGTGTGTGTGTAAATTTGCTATTGATAATAAGTGTGGTATGCGCCTTCTCTTCACTTATATTATGCATACTCAGTCTAGGCTTAAAGGCAATTAAGCAAGATTTTTTTCGCTCTTCACAATTTTACTTGTTCACATAAATTGCCATAAATTGATTACTTGGATGTAATGAATATGCATACGCGTGTAAGTACAAGTTTTGTATTTTGAGTGGAAGTGAGCTACAGTATCTACTCTCTGAAGCCCTGCTGATATCTCAGATCTTCTAAATTGAGTAATAACTAGCATTATCGTTTGTCGCAAATATCTCTCTATCTCATTTGACATTCTTCACTACATTGTGGCTTTTTGTATTCAACATCTTGTTTTTATATATGTGTCTCACAACAACTTCCATCTACTGTATTTTATCCTTTAACGATTTGTAACACTACTGAAAATGTGTAAAAAATATTTACTTGTTATAGTTTTGCTGAGCAAATTCACGTACATTTTGTGGGTTTGATGTTGATGGTGGAGTGAGTTTGACATTTGGGTGACAAGGTGGGGCAAAGGTTTATGAATCGTTATTTTATCGACAAAATATATGTGCAATTTTTATCGCCAGATACTCGGTGCAACAACATACATTTCCAGATTCTCACACGATTGTACTAGTTTTCTTCGTATTTCTCCAGTTTTTTGATCATCTTATCTTCCATATTTCCTTGATGTTCTTAGCGAATACAGCTCTTCGAAAAGTTTTGCAAAGACGCAATGATGATAGCAGAAAAAAAGATTCCACACGTCAAAAAATATCTCTTTTTTGCCCATCACGTACGCCATCAAGTGAAATCAGTACGCCTCATTTGACTAAAACGACTGTACAGCATCTGCACAGTGACCAAAAAAAGACCGTTTACGAGGAATCTGCTTGCATTGGTAGTAATGATAATTCTACGAATCTACCTTATACACTTTCCGGCACTTATTCCACTCAACCTACCAGCACACTGTCTCTTTCACTGCGACATGTTCGCAAGGTTCCCACAACTGTTCACTTATCGTCAAATTTCGTTATTGTCAGTAGACATGGGCCTTCAAGAGTGTACAGTTTAATGGGATTACATTCAACAACTCATGCTACTACTACTACTACTACTTCTACCACTATCACAAGTAAGTCTAACTAATCCTTCTCATATTTGTCCATTTCAGAGTTCATTTAATCCTTCTCCAGAGCAATTTCCAATCCACACTCCTAACGATGGAACCACTCCCGAATTCTTCAAAATTATTTTCGGTTTGCTTTCTTAATTTCCAATCTCCTCTCGTATTTCTTTATATCATAAATCCATCTTCATTTTCTTTCTCACTCTCTTAAATCTGCAATTATCATATTGTTATTCATGTACCAAAGACAGTAATTATTGCAGAAAGTCAGGATGCCGTGTACTCATCATTCATGCGTGCACACAAATGCTATGACTTAATTCCAACAAGTACCAAATTGGTAGTTTTTGATACGCAATTAAAAGTGAGTTCACTCATCTTTTCAATGACCCATTTGCGTGTACTTTGTTGTATCTCTTATAATAAAGGCGAAACACGTATGTGTGATATTAAGCACTTTCCATTTGCAACATTTTTCTATCAAAATATTTCCAGTTATAAAGTTGTGTCATATGGTAGTCTATTGAGAAAATATTCTGTACCCATTATTATGAGCTATAAAAGTATTTAAAATGTCTACGATAATTTTTATGACTGCATTGTTTCAATGCTTTCAAGTACTACTCTTTTTTGGTTCTGACTTTTTTAATTATTTTAAAGCATAGAGGTCAAGTCACTCCATGGGTCGTAGTATGCAGTGATAATGCACTTTAAAAACCTTGGATGTGTTTTTTTCCTATTCTGATGACACTTTTTGTCTACTGAACTTAGCCCAGAATCTCACAGCTAATTTCGCTTTTTTTAGGTTAAAAAGGCATTTTTCGCTCTGATTTATAACGGAGTTCGGGCAGCTCCGTTATGGGATAGCAAAAAGCAGAAATTTGTTGGAATGCTTACTATTTCTGATTTCATCCGAATATTGCACAAGTAAAATACTTCTCAAATTAATCATTATTACATGTTGTCTTAAAGAAAATGTTGTGGATTTTTTTGAATGCATATATTTTTGAATACAAAATTGGACAATTGTGTTTCGCCCTTTTCTTTAGATAAGTAAACACTGATTTTACTAATATTGATAAGCTGTGATTTCAGTGTAACATGAAAGGCTCAGTAGCTTAATTTCAACGTTTTAAGCTCATTTCATAGCATAGTAGATAGTAGTATGGACTGCTTAGGACTCATTCTTATTACTCCAAACCAAATTTGCTGTTTCTAAAGCTAATTGTTTATTAACTTTCACAGAAAGTTTACTCCAAAATTTTGACGTTATGAGTCTTGATAACCTTTCTTAAAGTGATATTGAATTCGTATATTCATTTGAATCAAGTAATCAGTTTTAGAAATTTTAATGTTGAATCTATATAGGTATTATACAAAGAATGGTTCTCAAAGTGAGGGTATACAGGGTCTTGAACAGCATGAAATATCAACATGGCGCGAGGAACTGGAACGAGATGGTCATTTAAAACCACTGGCATCTATAAGTCCTTCCGAAAGGTGTTTAAATTTTTCATTTCACTCGCATAACTATTAAAATTTGCATAATCTGATTTACGTAATCCTTTTGTATTGCTATTGTAGTTTTTGAAATTTTTAATTTAAGTATTGTTATTTAAAAGAATATTCAAGTAACACCGTTTATTAATCCTAATTCTCTTCTTTCCAGTCTTTATCAAGCAGTTCATCTTTTATGCAAGGAGAAAGTGCATCGTTTGCCCGTAATGGAAGAAAGCTCCGGAAATATTGCTTTCATTCTTACTCATAAACGTCTAATCAAATTTCTTTATCTATATGTTTGTTTATCTCTTTGTTGTTTCATATTATTCATTTTCCAAGTTTTATCTTTTTTGGCAACAATTAATACATTTATTTCTTCAAAAGTAATTGAGATTTCGTGCAAAATTGTTGAAATTTCGGACAAAATTGTGAAAATAAATGGTTCATTTATTGATATGAATTTCTGTTATTGAGGAAAAGTTTGATTTGCTTTCCTATAGTCAATTACTTATTTATAAGAAGGAGTTTAATTTGTGTAGTAATTGTGGAAATAAAGTTCCATCAAATGTATGTGGAATTGTGAATTAAAATGCATGCCAGATTAAGATATATAGAATGTAACGCCCAGGTTGCAGTTAAGATGAAGCAATTTCAGGTGCTTGATTTGCCGCGCCCTTCTTTTATGGATAAAACACCTCGCGAGCTAGGTTTGGGTACATGGAATAATGTCTCAACGATTACAGAAGACACCCCACTAATAGATGTCATGGGCATATTTCTTTCAAAGCGAGTTTCTGCCTTGCCTGTACTAGATAAAAATGGCAGAGTATGTGTTTTTCAGTCTAATGTTGATTGCTTTATACTGTTTCTTTCATTCGAAGAAAAGATATGAGAACTTGTGCTTGCAAAGACTTTTGTATTATTAAACTGTGAATAATCTCGAAATGAAGTGTAAAAAATTATTTTTAGGTTGTAGACATTTATGCAAAATTCGATGCTATAAATTTAGCAGCGGATAAGTCTTATAATGATCTGAATATAACAGCACGAGAAGCTTTGAAACATCGTGTTGATGTGAGTTTGAGCTTTTACAGGATATATATTGTGATTATTTTGCTTTTTAACAATATGCAAAATAATTTAGTTAGTTTTTGTAATATAATTGGAATATTAGTGGTTCGAAGGAGTGCGTTGCTGTTCACCAAATGATTCTTTGATGACAGTCGTAGAGATGATTGTTCGAGCTGAAGTTCATCGGCTAGTGGTTGTTGATGATGATAAGAAAGTTGTGGGAATTATTTCACTCTCAGATATACTGCGTTTCATGGTTGTAGAACCACCAATAACATCTGCTAATAGTAAGTTGCGTTATTGTTTGGTTGAAACATTTTATTCTAATCTAGAATAGTTTTGAGACTCAGATCTCCGACTTTTTTTCATAACAGAGGACAAACAATGATTTGCTGAAAAGCATTATCGTAACTATTTCTTCGGAACTTCGTTGTGGGCTTTTTATTGAGAGTTATAAGTCCAAGAATGGAGAAGGGCTTTTGAGCATTAGATTTTTACTTAATGATTTTAACTATTTTTGCCTTTTTAATATTGTAGTAGGCATATTTATTGAACGATTGGACTTAAAAATTTTTTTCTAATAATATACTCTTATTTTATGTAAATTTTGCTCGTAGGAGAGTTATTCGGTTTTTGCATTGTTTTTTCTTTCAGATGATGGTTCAGATTTCACGATGGATGACGCGGCCGAAAGCTGTGAAGAAGTATGTACTTAGCTTAGATGCACTCAAAGTTAAACGAAAATTGTGTATATATAATTATGTGCTGCTTCTGACACTGCTTTTTAAATATTGTTTGCAAGTGATATCATCATTAATTTTTCTAGTAATCTGATGTTTTTTCCACACTGCTTTTGCTTCGTAATTTACGTTTTACTTATTTTCATTGTCTGTTCATTTGTACTACAACGCATATATCAGTCTCAGTTCTCGTTTTCCTTCTCTTATTACGCTTAAACATTTGGATTATAATTCCAAAGTCAAACAAGCACCATAATTACTTTCATTTATGTTATGATCTTGGCATTGATGTGATTATATATAGTATTTTTTGTTGAAATGTTGATATCTTATCTAATTTGGCTTTCATCATCATGCAAAATTTGAGATTTTGTATATTTATAAATGCAGCTGGAAGAAATAATGTCAACCTAGGAATCAGTAAGTTGTTGAAATGAAATGAGTTCTCTTGTTTTCTATACGAGTTTGTTTTCTTCGCATTTTTCATAATTTAATTGCTATGTTATTTTTTTCAGTACCATGTATTTAATTGATAGCATATGTAACTGCAACTCAGTTGTTTTGGTTGTATTCCTTTGTTAGACTTGATGTGAATGTGCATGCCTGGAAGATCATTACTTAATTGCTTGTAGTAGATTGGTAGTTCGAATGTGTGTTCAGGTTGAAGAAGTTAAGCCATGTTCGGGTTTGTATCGGCTCACGATGAAAGTCCCTTGTCCATGTCATCAGGATCGAGAGATTACGGGTCTCTCGTCGCGTATATCTCACTACCGGGTTCGTCGTGCCACTGTTTTGTTAATTTAACTAATTTACTCTGTGTTTCCTTCACAATGCTTTATAGCTCTAAATGAATCTTGAAGCACTTTTTGTACTTGTGATATATGTGGTCACAAAGATTGTTCGTCAAGAACACAGACATCTTGATAAAATCAGTTTATAATTATGAATGTTTAGTTTTTTCATATTTTAGAACATAATTTAGGTTTGAACATGTTGCCCAGATGAAATCATTTATTAATTACTGTATACGCTTTGTTAAGTTTCAATAAAATTTTCACTCTATCATGAAGTGTGAAATTCACACTAGAAGTCAGGAATGATAAACAGAGACTGAGAAATGTATTGCTTTGGTCATAAATACTGATGTTTGGGTCTTCAGCTCCATGGGGTAGCTACTTCAACGGGAAATCAGAGAAAGTTCGCAATTTTGGAGATGTGATTTAGTTTTGAGGTATTTCAGTAAATATTTAGCTGCAGTGTTTTACTCGTTTACTAAAACTATTGTTTCTAAGGAGTAAGTGGATATGCAGTACTAATTATGCAAAGTTTGATTCCGTTTTAAAGAACATTTTAAATGATATTTAGACTTTTTCTTTGCTTTCATTGTGGTTAGTTAAGTGTGTACTCTGACTTTTCTTTAGATGAGAAAATTTTGTTTTGTAGATTAATCAATGCTACCGTTTGGTGGGTCTCCAGCATTCCCACCCTTAGTAAATTTGCCATCTGCAGCTGCATCTCAAGCTACATATCTACAGCAGCAAGTTATGATGCCACCATTGCAAAGAAGTAAGGTTTATTTTTGCAAATCTGTTATACTCTTCCTTTACTCGCATAATATCTTCAATTATTTGTCATGAATTCTCGCAGAATTTAGTGGTTTATATGAAGTTTACGTCAAAAAAATACCTTTTTTGATTTATTATAGTACCTATGATGGCAGTGGGCTCAACAACAGCTCAACTTCAACTTCCGCAGGTATCAGTAGCCTCACCTGTAACTACTCCACGACCAATGCTTGTTCCACCACAGATGCAAATGGAAATTGCTGCGGCTAATGCTGCGCAGGCACCTCGTACTCCATCCACAAATTCTGCTTCGGTAACTAGTGACGTATGTGTATTGAACTGGTACATCCAACTGCATGACATGTTATAAATTTAAGTATGAACTGTACTACAAGCATTAATTTTTTAAAGTCTTGGAGATCAAAACTCGCTGAAATGAGGCTGCCAATTTTCTGTAATTTTTTAGAATTTATAGGTTTGGTCAGAACATACAGCATCTGATGGACGTGTGTATTATTATAATAAAGTTACAAAACTATCATCATGGCAAAAACCTGACGAGCTGAAAACTCCAGAAGAGGTAAGTTTATTGCTTTTTTTCATGTTAAAGTGTTATGCGTGTTTGTTCTTATTAATATGTTATAATATTTCTATTATATACATAATTTACGTCCTCTTTGAGAAAAAAATAGCCGCTGCAAAGTTATGGCGTGAATACAAAACGTCTGAAGGACGTCCTTACTATTATAATATAGAAACAAAGGAATCAACGTGGATTTGTCCAAAAGATTTCGACCCTGCAACCGTGGCAAAAGGTGGTTTACTTTGAAAGCAATGCTCTTATCGCGCTGGCGGAATTTTTTCTCTGCACAATGCTTTTATCAGTTTTAAATTTGGATAGAAATTAAAGAAGTAAAGATAAAACAACATATGAATCAGTTAACGTTTGGTATTCTTGTACATGCAAAAATAAAAAAACTATGAAAGCAGATTTTAGCGAAGAATGGATCAGACCAGAAAGGAAATGAAACATCAAAAGCTGAATCACAAAATGATGGAGAATCGGAATTAGAGAAAGCAATGCTGGCGACACTGAAGTCACTAGAACAGCCGAATGTAAAGCAAAATTTAGCTTAGATGTCGCCTTTAGTAGGATGCACTTGGGCACCGATTATCTTTTTTCATATTCACATGTTTCAGGATCAGACAGATAGTGCAAAGGAAATTGCAGACGGAGGGAAACCTCAAGAAAAAGATATGAAACAGAGACAGAGTGATAAATTTCGAGAACTTCTTCGAGACAAGGTTGCTTGTCTGAGTTTTATTCCATATAATGACTTACATTTAAATATAGAACTTTTATTTTTTGCAGTACAATGATGGAAAGATATCGTCCACCAGTTCGTGGGAACAAGCAATGAGGTATATCCAACATGACTCAAGATTTCGAGTATTAAATAAAGTCAGTGAGAAAAAACAATTATTTAATGCCTGGAAGGTACAGCGTCAAAAAGAAGAAAGGGTATGTCTTTTTCAATTTCAATTTCATTCTTGTTTCCAACTCTTCTTTTCTACTTTCGGTATAGTTGTAAATTAATTTCATGTGTATTTTTAATCTCCGTTAATAATACATTTCCAAATATCGGCTTTTATTATCAAGTCAGTTATGATATCAACAGTGGATGGCAGAACATTCAATGTTTATAACTAACAAATTGCTAGACAGTATTTCTGAAATTTAGTTTACCAAGAAATTTAGCTTAACAAAACTGAATATATTTGAAGTGTTACGCACATATTTTCCATTTTACCACTGTAAATTATTAAAAATCATTTCATTTTTTAATTGGCTGTTTGTTTTTAAGAGCGTTATTTGACTATCGAAATCAGAATAAAAGATTTATTAATAAAAATAAGTTATGGATGTTAGATGTGAGATGAAGCAAGTAGCCTTACTTTTCTTTGCACACTCTAGGTATGAAAGCTTGCTGTTTCTCTTTTGTGTTTACAACTGATCGATAGTTCGAACACGTTTTTAACATTTTTAATAGAAGGTAAGTTTATTTTCAGTGCAATAATAGTAAACATACGGTACACTCACTTTTTTTGTTTTTGAGCAGTATTTACTTGTTTTTTGAGATTATCATTAAGCATTACCAAAGCTCTTTCATAGTGTTGGTTTTCATTCATTTCGGGCCATGTTTTCTCCACTGTTACATACAGGTCGATGAATTTCTGACACAGTGATTCGGATTCTTCATTACTGATGTTAATGGCCCCAACTGACCGAAATTGCTTATAAAATCGTCTGAAAATAGAGAAAGTGTTAAAAATATGGCTGAGGAAATCATGTGATTTTTCAGAATCATGGAGTGAATTCAAATTTGCAGTATTTCACTCTGGATTTGTAATGTAGTTTTTAAAGTTTAGGGATTTATTGCAGAATAACTAACGCTATTGCAATATCCTCCTGATAATATATTTTCCTGATGGCTTCTTTTTGAGCAGGAAAATATGAATTTGATGAAGGCTCATGTTGGGGGGGATTAGCTACATACACATCATACCAGAGAGGTCTGTCTTTCCACGTCATCTGACCAGAGCGCAGCAAACCAGTAACTCTGAAATGCATTATACTTCTCCTTTTACATTTTTAATGATTCACTTGTTAATGCCATTAGTGAGATGAATCAGTTACTCCAAGCTGTGCATGTTGGAGTTGACTCATCACAAATGTGTTACAAAGGCTTGCAACTTTAATGAATTCAATTTGGCTTTTGAGAATTGGAACCATTGCAATTCTTGTAGCATTGTTACATTTAGTTGATGCTGGGAAATACCATAGGGCTGCTAGGGACGAGGACGTTTCGTAATTCCTTTCAATTTGTCAGTAATTAATAAACCTGTAAAAAATTGATCCAGCAGTTTCTTTCCGTACAAAATACTGTGCCATTTCTCTTGTGTCGTTTCTTCCTACAAACAGAAATAAGGATCTTAAGATTTTGTACTTGTAATATGGTACATTACGTAGGTCATAATCTACCCTGCTGGTGCTAGCCATACTTATACAAAATACATACTAGATATGACTTTACATGAGGCTTTATCACTAAATATTATGTAACCCAACTGATTTTCTAACAACCATACATTTATGTCTGGCTATTCTTTTTATTGCCTGGCACGTTGCCAATTTATTTCTAGATAGGATTTTTGTGATGTAGCTGTTTAATCTTTTTTTGCAGCATAAAATTTCAATTAAATGTTATAATGTTACCTGTGTTGGGCGACTGTAATTTTAGGATGAGAAACGCCTTGCTATTAAAAAAGCGAAAGAAGATTTGGAAAGGTGGCTACACAATAATCCAAGAGTCCGGCCATCAATGCGTTATTCTAAAGCGGAAGTGCTTTTTGCAGATGAACTTGTCTGGAAGATCGTCCATGAAAGCGAGCGAAAAGAAATTTATGCAGACGCATTAGTAATTCTTAATAATTGTTTTTGTGACCTTTACATAGGTGTTTGTGTTGGTTCATAGCAGAAACCAGCATGTGTCGTCACTGTAAAAAAAAGCATTACATTATTTCGCATTTTCCCAAATTTGCTCAATGTTGTTTGAATATTGACAATAAAAACATTTGATTTGCTCTCTTTTTCAACTGCTTGAAATATTTTGCATCCCATTGGGAGCTAAAATTTTTTGTTTGAAAAACTGTCTTTTATTTTGTTAAAGGAATTCATTGATAAACGTGAAAAAGAAAATGCAAAAAACATCCGACGCAGAAATGTTCAAGCTTTGGCTGATATCTTGGAAGGAATGGAAGAAATAACGTATCGAACAACATGGGCTCAAGCTCAGCGTCTCTTGATCGAGAACCCTTCATTTGCTAATGATAGCACATTGCAAAGTTAATTGTTTGATATTAAGTTTTTTTTTGAAAATAAAATTCAAAACTGGTGGTTTTGAGAGACTGTGTCGTTAGTTGGTTAAAGTTTCAAGACAGTGAAAGTACAATATTAAGGAGCATATTCTTCAGGATTTAATATATTGGACTGCATGGAGATTCAGCATAAAAATTATTTAGATATGGATAAAGAAGATGCGCTCATAGTTTTTGAGGAGCATATACGTACTGCTGAAAAACATTATTTGAAAGAGAAAGATATGGAGGAACGTCGTAGACGTCGACAAGAGAGAAAGATACGTGAAGCTTTCCAGATTTATCTTATAGAGTTGCATAAACGCGGTTAGTTCATATTTTATTTTTAGTTATTCATTCCAGCAATAGCTAATGTGATCGATGCTCGCTTCCAGTAATTATTTCAGTTGGAAAAAAACATTGATGACATTGACGATTGCTGATTTGCACACGTCGTTCTTCAAACTGCAATGTATACTGTCTTTTTGTTGTAGGTGAATTGTATACTGTCTTTTTGTTGTAGGTGAATTGACATCAATATCATTATGGAGTGAACTCTACCCTGTTATTTCGGCGGACTCACGTTTTGATAATATGTTGAAGCAGTCGGGAAGTACACCTCTTGATTTATTCAAATTTTATGTAGAGGATTTAAAAAGCCAATTTGGTCAGGATCGACGAGTAATAAAAGAAATTCTGAAGGTAAATTTTTATCTTTTTTTTAATCTGAAATTTTTACTTTTTTCAATGTAGATGTGTCCTCTTTGCAGGATCTTAATGTAGCAGTTGAAGTAGGTACCACATTTGATCAACTTTGCAACTGGATATCTTCTGATGAGAGAGGTAAGGCTGTTGATCCCGGTAATATGAAACTTTGTTATCATTCCCTGGTGGAAAAAGCAGAAGCTAAAGAAAAAGAACAGGAGCGAGAAGAAGCACGAAAGGTTGGATTTCAATGAGTTTGATCAGAATGGTTCGGAAGAGTTTCTTTCGCTGTGTGAATGACTGATCTCAAATTTTAGAAGACTGAAAATTACTTGAGTATATCTACATCTTTATATATCTACACATTTAAAAAATTACAATGCGAACAGTGGTTAGATGCTAGGGATAGTAAATGTAACTGTATAACCTAAGCTGTCATTTCTAAAGTATTTGTAGAGAAGACGGCATGAAACATCATTTCGAAACATTCTACGAAATTTGGTTCCTCCAGTGGAGCCAAATTCAACTTGGGAGGTTATACGACCGAAGATTGAAAATGAAGAAGCATTTTTAGCTGTTGAGACCGAGCAACTCAGAGAGAAATTTTTTTTCGTAAGATTTTTCAAATTGTATGGTAGATGCATTTATTGTTGTTCTCTGGTGATCTGTGTATTTTTTGTCGTAATTTGGGCTTCATCCATTCAGTTTTAATAGTCACATTCTTTACTATATAAAGAAAATGTATTTCAAGTTTGAAGAATCTTTGTATTTGACAGTTAGAATTTCCGTTATTAAAGGATTACACCCAGAATTTGGCAGAGGCCTGTGGTCATCATCATGGTTCAAAAAAGAAAAAGAGGGATAAGAGAAAACGTCGAAAAGAAGAGGCAAGCATTCCTCTCTAAATCTTTTGTTTACTGAATCACTAATTTTTTGTATCAATTAATAACTCGTGTATAATGCAGAAATTAAGTGAAAATGAACTGGAAATAAGGTCAAAAAGAAAGAAGAGACATCATAGATCAGATCAGAGCGATGACGAAAGAGGTAATTCTCTTCATTCATCAGTTATTTGTTTAATGAATTTTTCTACATTCAAATGTCTTTTCATAAATACTTCATGCTGAAATAAAACGCGTAACAAGTAGTTGTTATTTAGTTTAGTAGATTAAGATTTTTTGTTTTAGTAAGTATATTATTTCGTAAAAAAATTTTACTTTAAATCAAAAAGTGTAATGGATTACTGGTGCAGATCGAAGGCATAGACGAAAAAAAAAGCAATCGGTTACTAAGTCTTGTTCGAGGTCGCAGTCTACTGTGAGTTATATTTTCGGCAGTTTGTATCTTCTGATGGGATGCTTTTCAAGTTATTAGTTCCCATCTGTAAATTATGACATATAAACAGTTGAACGTTTTTTGTAGTGTAATTTTTCCCAAGTTTCAAGAACAATTGAAGGTCGTCAAACGTGCTCATATTATAATGTTCTAGATTTTAATTTAGATAAAGCAGCTGTGTTTCAGAGATTTGTGCCAGTATTAATTTGTTAAAATTTTTGGCTAGAAATAATATAAATGCTTAGTGAAAATTTTAAATGTACTGCAATCAAAACAGTATATTTTGTTCTATTTTTGAATTTTAGGAACCGATTGAAGTGCATTTAAAAGAAGAACTCTCACCAATACAACGAGTATGTTTTTATACTCATTTCTTACCAAATAGATAAAAGTTCAGTTCTTGACTATTGAATATGCAGTTTTTTCAGGAAGAAAGCAACGAATCAGATTTGAGTGAAAGTGAGTTAGAGCAAAAAAGAATAATGCTATTGAATAAATTGGACACATCTCCTCGATCATCCTGAATGTACGTGGCGATTGTGTAATGTTTAATCCCTACTTTTAAGATTCATGTTATCTAGAGAAACTTGTGGCAACAGCCTGTAATGCTGCTATTTCAATGATCTCATATTTTAATACGGCTGTAAAAGCGTCTATTGCATCTTCGTGTTTTTTAGAAACACTGTGTATTTGAAAGAAAATTACGTCTGTTGCGTACTGTTTCTTTTATTCATAGCTGTTTTTTAGTCTGAGAATGGCATGCTTTTTTCAACTTTCCTTGGTGAACATCCGAATATTTTCCTTTTTATTTTTCATTGAGAAATGCTCTGTATTTAAAAAAAATACTAGAACTATTCTGTAGTAGTATTAATGTGATAATGGCATTTAAATTACAAATGTGACGTAGAAAATTGAGGTGGTGGTCGAACTCTTACCGTTAGTTTTACAGATCTTCATTTGCTTGGAGAAGGATGTATATTGATTCTTTAAATCTTTATCTTCTTGTTATGCGTATCTACCTTATTCGAATGCTTTTGTATGCATTAATTTTGTCATTCAGTAGATATCTTAGTGTCCTGTTTCTTAAGATTTTCCATAGTCATTTAATCCAGTGTTTAACATTGAAGTAAAAGTGTACATTACAGTAAAAGTTTTTCCTTTTCATTCATTTTACGGTTTTTTATTTATCTCTGGGTTAATCCATGAGTATTATTTTTTGAATGCAAACTACCCATAAAACATTCCAAATCCATATTTGCGATGTTTTGTATGGGTAGTTTTGCATTCAAGGATTATTCCACCGTGGTATTTTGTATTATTTAGCCATAGTATCAATTCCGACAGTTTCTATCACTTGTTATCTGTCTGGTGAATATGTCAAAACAGAACAAATTTTCCCCTGGTGTTGACTCAAAAAAGGTAGGTATATATGTATAAATATATATGCATATTCATGGCGTCGAAGTAATGGAATATTTGTAGTTTTAAGATGCAGGTTCATATGTAAATCTTTACTGTATGTTACAATTTAGTTGTTTATTTTTTTTGATCCAGGAGTAATCTCTAATTCAAAATATAGGGCTGGGTGCGGTACTAGACCTTAGTCTTTCCTACAACGTTATATTTAAAAGCTGATGAGGCTGTGTGTATTGTTTGCAGTTGCAAGTATTTTTAAGTAATTATTTATTCTGATATGTTGAAGAACAATTTTCATCAAATAGTACCTGGAATTTCTTAAAGATATGGTGTGAAACAAATGGAAAAGATTTATGCAGATTTTGATCAGCTTTAGATAAGTGGTGAACTGTTTACTCTGACATATGGTGCTCTGGTTGCGGAGTTACTACGAGATTTAGAAAGTCCTACTGCGGTGAGCTTATTATACTTTTTATACATCGAAGTATCCTAACAGTTGTGATACACAAGATTTGCAGGTGAATCGGCAATTAGATAAAATAGGGTATAATATAGGACTGAGGCTAGCAGATGATTTACTTGCAAAGCACTCTCATATTCAACGTTGTACAGATATGCATCAAGTTGCCGATGTGCTGGCAAAAGTTGCTCTTCGCACTTATTTAGGTGAGTTTTTGTTTTTTCGGAAACAAAAGGTAATATAAGATTACCTATAGCTTTTATGCATAGTTTTTTTCGAGATTCCTATCATTTTGAAGTTCTTGACGTAACGAAATAGCTTATCGTTGAGAAAGTCGAAAACATTCAGAGATTTTTTGAAAGTTGTTGGAATAGTTTTATTCCAATAATTGTTTATCTCTAACTGCGGTTGCTACTTTTATCTATGTGAATTTGTTGCTTCAGGAGTGACCGCACAAGTTTCGAACTGGAATCCCAGTAATGACGAGTTTTCACTCATCCTTGACTCGAATCCATTATCAGAATTTGTAGAAGTCCCGTCTGAACTGGCTCAAGATCTTCGGTTGGTCTCGACTAATTCAATACAGTATATTTATAGTCACCATGACAATTTCTAACACACTTCAATCATTGTGAAATACTTCATAATTATTTATTACAAAGTGATAATTTATATTCGCCAATATTCTGTGACATAGAAGATTTTGTTGTATTCACAATAATGATTGCTAAATTTTAAGGTACTCCCAAATTCTGTGTGGAGCAATACGTGGGGCCCTTGAAATGATGCATATGGAAGTTCAAACATTCATTGTGCAAGAACACAGTCAGAGTGTAGAAATTAGAGTGAAATTCATTCGAATTCTGCAAGAGTCAGTTCCACCTGGCGATGATGACTAGCTCTTTTTGTGAATATCTCTTATATACAGGAAGTAATATTTGAGAATATTGAGCGATCAGTCAGAAATTCTGGTTGTTATGATGTTCATTTTTACATATCAAATCGTAACGTGGATTAAATAATAGTTGCGAACCTTTTCATACTCAGAACTGCTACATACGTCTCGATGACGAGAAGACTGCATCCTAGAATGATTCTAAAGAAAAATGTGTCAAAAGTATGAAGGAGGGCACAACATTGTTGTTTAACGGAGTACAACATGAGCTTTCATAGTTGTCATGTTTGTGTTAGTTACAAAGTCATGTAATTCTAAGAGGTGTTCTCGAGCGTGTAATAATAAATTAACTTCTTATTTCCCGAGCATTTAAAACTTCCTTTAGTACAATGTTTAGCTTCGTTTCCTCAAATATTATATACCATTACTTTCGTGGTTGTGAAATTTCCGTTTCTTTGGTCGAGAATTTCCTTATTATAAGTCCATAAAATAATTTACACATTCTTCACAATGTGCTCTCACACTTCATTGGCATTGTTGACCGCACCTACCTTGCGAAATCTTACTGCGATATATTCTCTTGTAGGAAAATTGCCAAGAACAGGTGAATTGGCCAGGAATTTATTTTAGATTTAGTGATTTATGGTTTTTGGTCAGTGTTAGAAGTCATACAACTTGACTCATATTCTAGTTCTGCTATCAACTGTTATTTCGCGTAAATTAATTCCTCTGACGAATTATACAGGGTCTGGGACTTCCGTTGTCACAAGAAAGGAATATTGAGCTGTAATGGGCTGTAATGCTCTTAGAACTACGATCTACTTACTGATTTATACGGTAGGTATTGATAACTGTTGAAACACAGGTGTTGGGTTCTGATTATCATGAGTGCTGTGAGTCATGCCATGGGATTCTATGTTTTGGGGGTTTATGAAATGAGAAAGAAGGAAAATATGAAATATTATTGCTTCTGTAACTGACAGCATATTGTTGTTTGTTCATGTTTCGATCACATGTGACTAGTAAATTGGCCAGGAACTTGTGGCACAGAGTTGTAATTATAAATTTGACGACAAGAAATATATATCAAATCAAAAGCGAAGAAGTGGTGGGTAATGAAGGAGATTCCTTCATGTTTAGTTACAGAGTAAGGGTGGGGAAACGTGTTTAAAATTTATGTAAATCAAGTTCAAGATTAGAAGATTGGTAGTAACGGTTGGTAATAAGCTAGTTTTTTGACTATTAACCTTTTTTAATGTTCTAAAGGATTTTTCAGTGGTAATTCAAAACTTTGCTTGTTAAGTTTTTCGAATTTCATTAATCTTTTTCCTTATGTTGTTGGTCAATTTTTATGGAATCATATTATGTGAAAATTTGTATTTGATTATACTCATTTGGAATGAATGATAGAGAGGAATTGTCTGTTACAAATATCGAACTTTGTCAGTATCCATACTTTTCTGATAATTTTTTGTCTCTTTTATCAACTAATTGTGGAAGTATAATTTCACGTTTTAAAATTCTTATTTTGTAATTAGCTTCAAAATTTCTACAGGAAAAATGTCTGGTGGCACTGCCATGGATACTATGTCATCTGCACCGCATATGAATGAAGATAATGCTATACGCTATTTGACCAACTTTGGTAATGTTTATAAAACTGCCAAAAATTTCATCACAGTTTTTTTTTGAGGATCATTTACTTTACCTGAGGCCAGCTACAGTCAAATTTCTGGTATTTAGAGTACTTTTGTGCTGAAAACGTGGTATGCGTCTTTTTTGATTATTAAGCTGAATTTTATGGTTGCAAATGATTTTCTCATTAAAGTGGTACATTCATGTCTTAATCAAGATTTTCGTTTAGTTTTTAGAGAACGATTGATTATTCAAATACGGTATACATTTAGCAGTAAGATATTAGAGGTGACATGTCTGGGTCAGACCTTAAATTCTGTGAATTTTTTTGTTAAGAAGACGTTGTGTGCTTCATCTATTGAAATTTTTCAGTGAAGTCACCAGTAAGCAATGAAGCAGATATCAAAAAGAAAGAAGAATCAATAATGGAACTGGGCAGTATGTTGGCAAAGAATAAGCGCACTCAAGAATTACGAAAAATGATCGAAAACACTCGTCCATTTCTAATATCGTTAGGCAAAGCGAAGGCGGCAAAACTGGTGCGAAATCTAGTCGATCTATGTCTTATGATCGATAATCAAGATGGCGATATCAAGGTTTTATTGTTCTTATAAGGTTATTTGAGACTGCGAAACTTATTTTTATTATTGTTATAGTAATTTAATAAGTGACATTGGCAAGATGGATAAAATATGCTTTCATTTTATTCGTCTCGCCAATGCTACTCATCAAATTATCATAGTGATATTACAAAACTAATAATTTTTTATATTACTTGTTACTGTCATAGTCTTAAGGTTGATCTCTGCAAGGAGTGCATACAGTGGGCAGCTGAACAAAATCGTACATTTTTACGACAAACATTGCAAGCTCGCCTTGTTCGTCTTTACAATGATCTTCACAGATTTACTCAGGCGCAGCAATTAGGTACGTTCTTCAAATTATAGATCTGGATTTTCATTGTTAATTAGTTATCACGTATTTTCAGCCAATCAGTTGGTTCGCGAACTTAAAAAAGTTGATGACAAAGATGTAATTGTTGAAGTACAACTAGAGGAAAGCAAAGCTTGTTATCATTTAGGAAATTTGTCGAAGGTTGTTTTTTGAGGCACATTATTCTTTTCGGTGTTGTCCGCTTTCTCTCATATTACATTGGCAGTAACCATATTCCACTTTCGATCATGAAATACCTCCTTGTATTAGTCCTGAAACTAATTCCATTCTAAAATATTTCATTATTTTGCTTTTTATCAGGTAGTTTTCAGGCCAAAGCTGCTTTAACATCAGCAAGGACAATAGCAAATTCTATTTACATGCCGCCACGTATGCAAGCTGCCCTGGATCTGCAATCTGGAATTTTGCACGCCGCTAGTGAACGTGATTTCAAAACAGCTTTTTCATATTTTTATGAAGCTTTTGAGGGATATGACACGGTAAACGATCAACAGAATGCTGTACGTGCTCTCAAATATATGCTTTTGAGCAAGGTTACGTGTTTCAAACTTTCTACTGGATATCGTTTTTTTTGCATATTGGAATTTTGTCATTTTTAATTGCTTTATTCTTACTATTTTATGCATTTTAGATAATGCTTAATTTACCGGAAGAAGTTTCAACTATTTTATCTGCAAAATTGGCCTTGAAATATAGTGGGCCAGATTTAGATGCAATGCGTGCAATTGCAGAAGCTGCTAAGAAACGATCCTTGGCAGATTTCAACACTGTACATTTATGTCAAATTTTCTACACAGATTCTATAACTTTTTTATATAAAAAACTAACTTTTTAACTTTCAGTTTAATTTATATCTTTATACTCGCTCGAAGTTTCATTTCAGGCATTTGGAAGTTTTCGAGATGAGTTGCAGTGTGATGCAGTTGTGAAGAAGCATTTTAACTCGCTAAGCGACAGTATGCTTGAAAAGGATTTGTGTCGCATTATTGAGCCTTATTCATATGTGCAACTTGAGCACATTGCTTCCAAAATTGGACTCACAAGAGATAAAGTAGAAAAAAAGTTGTCACAAATGATACTGGACAAGAAGTTCTCAGGTGATTTCTATATATAATACATGATTAAACGTGAATATTTCTCTCGTAAATAGTTATGTATTTTCAGGAAGTCTACATCAGGGTGAAGGGATGCTTATTGTTTACGATCTTGCTCCTGTAGACAAAACTTATGAATCGGCAGTTGAATCTATTCATGCGATGAGTGAGGTGAAATATTTCTTATGGGAATTTTTTTGGCTTGGAAGTGTTACTTAGTTTCGAGATCACAAGTTCTTAACCAAATACGATTATTAACAGATAATAATAAACTTGCAGGTAGTGGACGCATTGTATCAAAGAGTGAAGAAGTTAAGATAATATTTGATAAGTACGAGTTTTTAATTGCAGTATCGAGAAGAAGTTTGCTAATAAAGCAATTGTAGTTCCTTTTCTTCTTGCTTGTATAGTTTAAATTATGCACATATTCATATCTCTAAAGAAATAGTAGGGAGGAGTCATATGACAAAGTGAAATTGGAATGTGATGGCAGTTGAGAGTGTTAAATTCTTTAGCTCACTATATTGTATTAGTTGGTATTATTTTTGTTGACCCTATGGTTACAGGTTATAGCATATTTTTCTTATTCTCTTTTCTAGAGGTTTTATCTGTTTCATTATTTATGTATAATTAGTTCTTTTCAACTAATTTTTTTTTATTGTTTGGAACGGCATGATTGCTATTGGTAATTAATAATCTGGAAAAGAATCAGGATAGTCATGTCTCCGAAAGTAATATCAGATACTTCTAAACTTATATGTTGTTGTATTTTAACTAAAGTTTTATAAAGCCTTACCATTTTGTCGCAGTACAGTTTGCTCAGACAAGCACTTGTTTCGTAATAATTACTGAAGCTACAATTTGTACACGAGTGTATCTACATGTGTCCAGAAAAACTTTTTCACCTCTTGAACATAATTTTTGTGTTGTTGCTTGTTCGGAATTTCTCTTTATAGTTTTTAGAATTATCAACTGTTTTAATCCGTAAACGTTAACTTTAGTTTTATTGAAAGTATTCCCTAATAAAAGATTATTGCGGTTTGCTTATTCGATGTGTCAAGATATCGGTAATCACCGTAAGCGATACGTCTTTCTTTTTTCTATTAAATTAGTAATTCCTGATTTTAGTAATACAATTTGAGCGGAAGATGCGTTTGAGTCGATTTTACGTATGAAGTTCTGAATCCAAGACGTAGTTTGAATTAATTTAGATCTAATCTAGATTTATTTCAGAATTGTAGTCCCTATCTTCGTTTGAGAAGTCGGTTCGAAAGTGCTAATCTGCATGTCGGTAGTCGGCCCCCATCAATGGTACGTTACTAAGGATTTTTCGTTCATGTAGAGTGAGATTTCATCGAACTTTTTGAGCATGGAAAAATCAAAGATATACTGAGATATTTGGCTGTTGTTGTAGCAAAGTATTCAGTAATGACTTTTTAATCTTTGGCTAGAAATTGTATTATGAACAAGAATTCGTTTTGTTTAAATGAAGTGTGGGTTTTACCAGAACAAAATCAACAAAGTCCGAAATCTCTCGTATATAAACTGTATTGTTTGTGGGTTTTAAAATTGCTGACAAATTAATGGCGTTTACTCCCACATTAAATTGCATATTTCAGTATTCCGACTACTGATGTCTATAAGTGTGACGCCAACTTCAATAACACTTGCCTCAATTGATCGGTTACTGGTTATTGCGGCTGAAAACTTTGATCCTCAAAGAGCGAATTTCTCATTTGACGAGGTGAGGTCTTTTTTGTTGTATCACTTGTTTATCGCTGCGACACAAAATAGACTTTGAGTTTGATCGTCACATCATACAAGTTATTCAACCAGTGTCAAATTTATATGATTTGAGAGTAAGAATTATTGGCATAGGTTTACACATGTAGACTATGGTAAAATTTGAAATTTACTTTGTGGTGAAACGGAACGTAGTACTAAATATTTTCTGATAATAAATTTTGCTTTTAGAGAATGTTACTTTATAACTTTTTTCATCTCTAATTTTCCTATTTTACTGAAGCTTTTAAACTTTCTGTCTTTGTTCACAACTCAAATTTTAGGAATTTTTGGATCGAATATTTGTGGCTCCTCATTCGATTGAGATTAGCATTTTCAATCGTCACGTCTTTCGTACTCTTCTTGAGAGCATCGTGACGTCAAATACACTTCTTTCTGGTTGTTTATTTGTATCGCACTCAACTGCATTGACTGGTACTGATATAACTTATAATCAACCTTCAGCTGATTCTCAGAAGCAATCAGCATCTTCCTCACTTTCATCGCACACACTACATCTTAAAAGCGACTTCTGCGTGTACGTAATTAGACAGGTTGGTGTTGTGTTGTGAATATGTTGTTTTGATAATATGAAATTAAGCATGCAAACAAGCTATTTCAGTAGAAACATGCATGCAAACTCTGTTTTTATCGGTGTGAAATTAACTTCTATGATCTTAAATATATGTAGAATATGTACTGTTATTCATCTCATCATTTTTTGTTGTATGATTATTTTTACTTATATCCATGAATTCCGGTTCTTCTGTGTATCATAAAAAACTATGTGGTTACTTGATAGGTGAAAGTATCAAAATTGCTTTATTGCATTCTGATGTACCATGTGTGAATTTTTTATCTTCAGAATTAGGGTGGTCCTTCACTCATTAGTAAATTCTTAGACCGTATCGTTATCATTAATGTCTGTGGCTCTTTGATTGCTAGAGCAAGGTCAGATCTTACTTAATTAAGAGTACTATCAGTATCTTTAATTTAAAATTTGGATTACTCCATATTTTTTTTTCTCTATGATGAAAGTAGTGATTCCAACCTCATTAGATATTCGTATTACATTTCAGCAATTAAAAAACTGCATCAGGGATCCTACTACAACTTCAGTCCAACCCTTTTATCGCTTTGTTGAAGTGTTGGAGGAAAAATTAGTAGAAATCCGATATAGTGAGCTTGAACGTTTTCTTGAAATTCTTCTCGGTTCGGTGCTGTCATTTGATCTTTTTATTCAAGTATTAATTGGTATTATTCTTTTCTCGTCTTCGCTTGTTCCACAAGTTGTTAAAGGACTTGGACAGTACCTTCATTCCGTATTTGCAGCGATATTTGAAATATCAAACAAAGGTAATTTTTAGAGAGAAAAAAAGTTTTAGGATTAATGTTTTTATATATTTTTTGTAATGTCATATGCATAATGTTGCTGTTCTCTCACTCAATATCTTCATTTTAGATAATTTGCCAGCTTGTAATCTTGTAACATCAGCCGAATTCACTCACCAGTTGTTTAGTTGTCTTCTTTCAACTCAAGTTATTGAAAGTATTGGAGTTAATCGACAATCCATTATCAGTTTTCTAAAGTTCTTCGAGCAAAGTTTGTTTACTCTGAAGTTTCATTTTCTTTCACTTCGATCTCTGTGTACAACTATCATCTTCTTTCAGTTTTAGGGCTTGCATCACTTGATATATTATTGTCAAAATCGTTCTCACCACTCCAACGTATTTTAACTCTTGCGGCTGAGAAGAATTCTAAACTTTCGACATCGTTGTTGGGAAGTGATCATCTTTCCCCCTGTGATTTCATTGATCTGGAAGACAAAGATCTCGATAAAATAATGGATAGCTTGTCTTTTCAAAACCCCAGTTTATTGGCACAGCAAATTCAAGTACAGTAGTGACATTATTGATAACCGTCTCATAAGTGTAATACAATATTTGGTTTTAGATGTTCATAACTGTATGTTAGGAATTCGACGATCAATTGTGCTATTTTTGTAGGAAATGGGCACGGCATTTACATCAAGTGTTAAATCATGTCGACAACACTTGCTATCTTTTAATTCTGGAGATACTTCAAGTTTAAATGCTGTCAATGTTTCGCGAGTTATTGTGATGATGGTAAACACGTGTTCTGGCTCTGCTGTACAGCAGTCAATGCAGTCGAGTGCTTTGTGGGATCATCGTTCTGGAAGTGTTCCTGGTAATTTTGTATATTGTGCGTACTATGTCGAGGAAACCAGCGAATACACTTTTGAGGGGATATTTATTGACTTATGTTTTAGTTGTTGGGACAGCTTCATCAGCGGAAAATTTGTCAGCAACCAGTGGCCTTTCTGAAAATTCTCTGAATGCAACTGTAAATTCAGCATCACAATCTACACAACAAATTAATTGGAATGGCAAGAATTTCGCTAACGCCATTCGTGAATTGGTATCGGATTTTTTTAATTGATCGGAGTTTGATGTTCTAGAAAAGCATTTTAACAACAAACGCGTAAATCTTTTGCAGATGCCAAATCTAAATTGGTCGGAAGTAGTTATGCATCTTGATCAGACAAATTTCATTGTAAGAACGAAGACTCAGTTGCAGTTGTTAACTACAATATTGTTTGAGGGGCTTGGTTCGAATGCTTTCCCTATTGGTTTGCTGTATCGGGAATGGAATTTTCACAAGTACGGTCAGGTAAAGCTTAAAATTGATGCAGTAGAATCTATTATTTTATCACTATCACAAAAGCGTATTGATAGCTGCGATTTTCTCACGTATCGTGGTTTTTTTTATAGCTTTCGTGGATCGAACAAATTTTGCAAAATCCAGATGTATTTTGCTTTACTGATTATCCTCATAAATTGGTCAATTTAACGTCACTGAAGGTGCAGCCTGAAGAAACTCGTGAACTAAATAACTGGTGAGTTTTTAATTAGTTCTATAAACTTTATTTTATACATATTTATTTGTGCTGTTATCACTTTGATGGTTTCAGGCGTTGTTTAGAGTTAGTGGATACTTTGCTACGATTAGGTGAAGCGAGAAAATTAGTTAATAGCGTAATGAATATTCTTCATAAACCAATAAATTCTTGTCCAGATGTTCTGCTCTTATCTCTGTTGCAGATACAGGTAAGTGATTTTACGTTTTTTATTTTGTGGAAATATTCTTTTCAATATTCTAGTAAATATATTGAAATCTGAAATTCAAGACGTTAAATATTTTGCAGTTACATTCAATGTAAGACTTTATAGCTGCCGTCATCAAGTTTTCGTATTCATCTCATGCAATTGCTAGTACCTGCGTTGATTGGTAATCATCCAAATGCTATCCCCGTGTTGAATGTAGCTTGGAATTGTGAAGATAAAGCCCAACTTCGACCTTCAATTTTAAATTCGCTATGTACTTATTACATGAAAAATCCAGATGATCAGACAAAGTTATCTCGAATTTTGGAAGTAGCTCATGAACTTAAGCCGGATGTATCTATTTCGTTTTTTCAATTGTTCGGTTTATATAAAGTAGTGGAACAGATTATATTATATTTGGTTTCAGTAGTCAAAAATTGATCAGTTCTCATTCTGATACAGTTTTTTTTCTCATCCATAGTTTAGTTGTTGCATAATAGAGTGAAATAATTGAATTTTATTAAAGAGTGTAGCTTCATTTAGTGCCCCAGTTTATCAAGTTTTTTACCTCACAAATTTTCTCTGCAAACTAGGAAAGTAATGGCCTTGTTTATTCTATAAGTTATGTACATCATACTTTTAGGGCTTGGCTGAATTGTTCAACGTACCGCAATTTCCTTTCACAATTGATTTGGCGTGTTTGGCATCAAGAAGAGATTTTTTAAAATTGGATAAGTGGATTGACGATAAATTGGCAACATATGGGGTAGAAAGTTGATTTTATCAGCCTAGATTCAATAAATTTTCAGTTCACTGAACTTGGACTAAGTAGTGAAAGTATTTTAGGATTCCTTTGCCTCACAAATAATATGTTACATTCGTCGCCGCATACCCGCGAGCATGGTGAATAGCAATATTTTGCCTCAAGAAACTATGAGAGTATTGCTGAATGCACTTTCGCGAACAAGTTGTATGTCTAATGCTACACTTAATGATTTATCTACGCTGTGCTACCAAATTCCTGCGGTTTGTTAATATTTTTCTGTTTTTATTACATAATGTGTGCTCATGAGATGAACTTTGTTATTACATGGTTGTTATTGAATGGTCACATTGACTAATGAGTTAGATTATCATGATACATACCAGTAATTTTTTAGCTGTTTATCTAAATTTCTGTGCTTTGTTATCCTTTTTTGTATTTGTGGTTTGCATATTGGATTATTGTAGATGAACATTGGGTATTTCTTGTTTTATCATTGAAAAATATAAAGTGTTTGGTGAGATTCATATAAAAATATACCAGTGTTATAAGTAATGTTTCATGTTGGTGTTATGATGTTGAGCTTTTCGAAACTTACGGCAATATCTTGCTTATTTGGTTTTGAAAATATTTCGTTGCTCCTCATAATAGCTTTCTCAATATATTCTTTATCGATTTTTAAAATAGATGAAAAATGGTGAAGGACGATTGTCAGCTGTATCAAGTTCAAGAACACAAATAAATATGTCTGGTGCTCCACATTCATTGACATCGAACATGTTCAGCAGTAATTTAGGTGCACCCTCAGTACCGACACAGCAAACGTCTAACAATTTCGGTAGTTTTCCTTTTGGGACTACTGGATTTGGTGCTGCTAATACCAGAGATGTTATCGGTAAGGTTTTCAAGTGATTAATTTTGGATATATCATGATTGTGTTGTGGAATTGGTTTCCCTTTACTTAATGTCAGTCACCTTTTATTTAAAGCAGCAGCTCAGCAGTTGCAAAACCGACAGCAACAGCAAAGTAACATACCGGGATCAGTGCAAGTTTTTGGAAGTCCTGCTGGTGCAAGTATGGGAATGCCAGGATCTGCGACAGCGCCATTTCCGCAAACAAATGATTTACTCAAGGTTTCTATAGTAGAAAACTTTATTTGGTACTGGTGATGTTTTTATTGATATCATTTTTTTTCCTTTAATAGGCTGCAAATGCGTCCAATATTTTGCAACCTAATTTTGGTGGAAGTCATGCATTGTCGATGTCTCCTTCCGCACAGATGATGAGAACTGGTTTTGTTGGTAGTGGAATAACCACAACGCAAGCGCGACCCGGAACAGGTGGACCTGGTTGGAGTATGCCAGCGGGGATACCAGGTCTGTGAACTTGATTTGTCCAAACTTCATTAGAATCCTTCAGCTGTAATGTAACTAAAGTAATAGGTTATAACAAATTTTGAACAAGTAGGAATGTTTTACTTAAAGCGATCTAATAAGCTTTAAAAAACTTAATTTTAGTTCGGAATTATCAGGTTTTGTTGATTTTGAATGAATAAAAGAAAAATTTGTTGTTGAATAAAGTTTGAAATTTTTCACCAATTATTTTGTTAAGAAATTTTTCATTTCAAGTTTTCTTCTTTAGTGAAGTGGAATTCTTCCTTCAAAATTTTTTTGTACTTATATAATTTCTTGTACCAATGTTCACTTTATGTTTTTGTAGACTTTTTAATTGGTGTGAAAAATTTTTGTATTATAATGTGTTAGGAACAGGTGGTTTGCGAACAACACCGGGACCTACAAGTGTACCGGCATCTGCTCTTGATTTTCGTGTACCGCCTGGTGCTCCTAATTCTACTGGTGGTTGCTTGTTTTTTTTTTATAAGATTAAATTGTTTATTCAGTTCACTCATCATATTCTGTACACGTATTATGAATGACAGTTTAGTTAATTTTATTCATTATGCCTCTGCTTTTAGGACCTATGTTGAATGGAAGCAATTCATTTCCTCATAACGCTACTGGACAACAGCAGCAACCAAATGGCAGTTCACAGAACCGTATTACCATACCTCCATCGGTGATAGATGATCTTACATCAGTCCAGTTTAGCGAAGAAATTCAGAATGAAGCAAATATGTACTTTCAGCAAGTATCAACTTCTGTTATGTATTTTAAGGAAAAGGATACAAAACTTAATAAAATGTTGTTCCTCTATATTAGAAATATCATTACGAGAGCTTTCGTTACTACATGTATTTTTGTAGAATGGTTAAATTTCTCAAATTTTTTAACTCAAGAAGAGAAATATGCTGAAGAGTTTAAAAATCATACCCAAAAATTAAAAAACTGAGAGAAAAAAAGTTGTAGGCACTTAATTGGAGTCATTACTCCCTTCATATTTTGTAGTGTTTCAGATTTATTCTCAGCATATGCAAATGCCGGTCGCAGATTTCGTTGAGCGGTTGAAGCAGTTCAAAGCATCCAATGTGCAGAGGGATAAGGTATTTTTCAAACGGTTTTTTTTTTATTTTAATTTTTATTCTTTTTTTTTTGTGTTTTTCTTTGTATTTTTTAGTGATCTTGCATTGCACTGATCAACCCACAGCTTGCTTTAGGATATTCTGGCATGTGTGGTGAAAAATTTGTTTGAAGAATACCGTTTTTTCCACGAATATCCGGAAAGAGAATTACGAACTACAGCAGAGGTCTATGGTAGTATTATTCGCGAAGGTGTTATATCGTACGTTTTTTGTCATTATCTGAGTCTTTAAATTAAAATTAGTTTGATCTCTTACGTGTGAATTCATTAATATCTCTTTATTTTATGCAAAATGTTGACATACAGATTGCAACAATGGATGGTTTTTTCAGGAATTTACAATTTGCAACTGCAGTGCGGAAAGTTATTGAATCATTTCAAGCAGAACCAGGTAGTATGCTCTGGACTTTTGGAATTGTAGCACTTAATGCTTGCCGAACAAAACTAAGTTTATATCCAAAAGTGTGTGTCATGATTGCTAATCAAAGGAATTTCCAGCATTTCCCACAAAATCTCAAGGTATTGTTTAGGAAATAAAAAATTTTTCTTTTGTGTCGATGGTTATCTTGGAGATATTAGCCTCCTGGATGACTTTTTAGCAGCAGTTCTTAGCGGGACAAATTAAAATAGGAACTATTAGTATTCTATAGCTCGAAATAATGTTTTCAGTTTTTTGTAGAAAATATTTTCACCTTAACAAACATATTTTTGTGGTTCTGTTATCATAGCTTTCCTTCAAATTGTGTTATGTGTAAGATATTTTAAGCCAATACCTTAAATTTTAGGATTACGTAACCAGCGGTATCCAGGGACAACAACCACATGCTCCTGGTCGTGAAACACCGAACTGGCAACCTCAGCAACGATCAGCATCAGAAATAAGCAGAGCTTTAGCAGCACGTTCAGTAGGTTTTGAATCTATTGACTATCCAATATAAAGAATACTGATTTGCGTATAAAATACTTGTTACTTCACTGTTCCTCACCTTACCATAAGTTTTATGCTTTTAGGGTTCATCAGTGCTCTCTGTTACCAGTGTTGACACTTTGGTGAATGCAACTGAAAAAGAAGGCAATCAAATAAAGCAGCCTTCCGAAACTGTGATGGAAAAAGTTGCATTTTTGTTCAATAATTTAAGTCAAATCAATCTACCAAAAAAAGTAGGTCGCATTTATTGCTTCACGAAGTTTATATTGCATTTTTAATATTGTAATATCATCCTATCTTTGTGTAATAATTTTTTTAGGTTGAAGAAATAAAAGTAATGATCGATGATTCGGATGATGATTTCCTCCGTTGGTTGGCACAATATCTGGTGATGAAACGTGTCAGCATCGAACAGAATTTTCAACCTCTATACAATCTTTTTCTTTTAGCTGTTGATAACAAGAAATTAGAAGGATATGTGAAACTAGAAACGTTTAGAAACATTAAGGTATAATTTTATTAATTAAAAAAACCAAATTAGGATGAAATTTTTGTCAGTTAATTTTTTTGGCTTTCTCAGTCTATAAAATTAGCACATTTAATTTTATGGATTTAGAGAAAAAGAAGCTCTGAGAAGCTTTGAAGCCACAAACTGTAAAGCATCCATGCTAAGAGTGTTTATTTTATGATAAATACTTGGTCGAGAGTTTGCTACATTTTTTGCATCTACAAAATTTACCTTAAAATCACATCAGTTTCAAAAACAGAATTGTAGATTTAGCACTAATTATATTTAGTAGTAGATTAAATTGGGAATTTGTTATTTACTCTATTTCTTAGATTCTTTTACGAAGTGACAAACGACAAGCAGCAACTAATTTTGGTGACAGACAGTTGCTGAAAAATCTCGGGTTATGGTTGGGAGCCATCACAATTGCTCGCGACTACCCTATAGTAACTTCGGTAATTGATTTACCATTACAAGTTTTATATTTGTGCTACAAGAGAAATGAAGTAATTTTTGTTGGATAAACGCTTCGAAATGTCACACTTTGGTTTTCATTTCAGGATTTGGACATGAAATCTCTGCTTATGGAAGCTTATTATAAAGGGCAACAAGAACTCCTCTTTGTCGTGCCTTTCATAGCTAAAATTCTTGTTTCCTGTTGTAAAAGTCAAGTTCGCTATTTTCTGTTATTTTATTTTGAGTTCAAAAAATACACTGGTATGTATGAACTATGTATGTATATAGATTTTTATAGATTTTTGGTCCAAACTGTGCATGGATGAAAGCTATTTTGAAAATTCTGGCAGAACTGCATAATCAGCCTGATCTGAAGTTAAATTTAAAGTTCGAAATAGAAGTTCTCTGTAAGGAACTGGGTGTCGATCTAAATAAACTCACTGTGGAAGACGTGCTAAAAGATACCGAACGTCTTATAAAACTTCCACAACAGTTGGGTGACTTAAAAATGTTAAAGCAACCGGAATTGCAAGTTAGTTTCATCACGTGAAATTGATCACTTTTTTCAATGTTATTGAATCCAAGTTCCAATCTTTCTTGTATCAAAAATAAAATTGATGATTTAAAACTAACTACTTTTTTTGATTGTCGCATATTTACTTATGTTTAGATGGCTGGATCACCTGTTCCAGCATTGCGTGCTAATTCAGAGACTTCTGCTGAAATTACTGTGGCAGGTATGTTGTAATCAAGTTTGATTCATATTTATTGGATTAGTATAAAAACCAAATACTAGCATTATGTTTTGATTATAATGTTTTTTACTAATGCTTTTTTGTAATTTACAGTTAGATATTTATCTTAGTTGTTTGAGTCCAATTTATATTTTTAAGATTGATCGTAATTTGTGTAGTAAATAAATTCCACATTTTAAGAATTTTTTAATCTGCTGTACTCGTAAGTAACAATTCTTTCCGGATTTTAATTGTAAGTAATGTTTTAAATATGTATTTTTGATCTCACAGAAATATGCCTAAATTACTTTATTAATTCTCAAAGTTACGACGTCATCTTTTAAATTTTTTTAGCATTAAGTTTTTTTAGGAAAGGGATGTGATGCATAGTTAGGTTCGAAACACTTTATGGGAGCTAAAATTATTGTTGAATTTTCTTCGTACTTATGAAGGCATGTCTGTGGTTAAATTCTCTCTTATTTAACTGAAGCTAATTTGTTATTAGGCACTCAGTCACCAAGTAATGCACAACTGCAAGCACCAGCTCATTTTCATTACCATGATATAAATGTCGTCTCTTTTGATGGCCTTACTCCGCATTTGAAGCTTTCAGCTTCATTACCCTTATTTCAAGTCTGTTTTAATAACTTTAATTATTATTGACTACATCTAGAGCATAGATCCTTTTTGTTTTTTTGGAAACTTCTCTTAATATTACTTGCGCTACGTCAACTGATTTCTAACTGCATGAAATCGAAATTATTTGCTTTTTTTCAGTTCAATCCACAATTAAAACATGTTGTTCGACCGGCAATTAGTCATGCAATTAAAGAATTAATTGGGCCAGTTACTGAACGAGCAGTTCGTATTGCTATGCATGTTACAGAACATATTTGTAAAAAGGTAACCTAGATAAACACTAGTCATATTTTTTCCGCTCTTTTCTCGTGTCTTAAATTTAAAAAAGCTTGTGTTTTTGTCTTTATAAAATTTGCGAGGTGAAATATTTGGTGTCTGGCCAAATTTATGCTAGTTGTTTTAAAAACTAATAATGAAGACCAATTGTGGACTGAAAATTTCTATAATTCTTAGGATTTCGCTCTGGAATCAGATGAACAACGAATGCGTCGTGCTTCTCAGCACATGATTCGGGCAATGACAGCGGGAATGGCATCTATAACTTGTAGAGAACCACTTTCTTCCACAATCTTGGGTTTTCTTAAAACAGCATTTACAAATTCTTTGCGGTGCAATATCACACCTGATCAAGTGAGTTTCTATTTCTTGTTAAGGAATCCCTGTTAACTTTTTAATGTTTTATTAATTATTTTCAAGCAAAAATTGATCGATGAAGCAGCAACTACAATTGCCGAGGATAACGTGGAGCTGGCAACAAATTTTATCGTCAAAACAGCATGTGAAAAAGCCACACCAGAAATGGATAAACGTTTTGAATCTGAATTTGCAACTCGCAAACAGTATCGTCTGGAAGGTCGTCAGTATGCTGATCCGGTTGCTCTTGCTCGCGCTCAGCAAATGCCAGAAAAAATAGGGCTTCGAATCGGATCTATCACGAATCAGCAGATGACAGTTTATGATGAATTTTCGAGGTCTATAAATTTATGGGAACTCTGAATTTTCGAGATTGTAATGTTATACTTCTCTGAAAGTTTTATTTCAGTCGGATTTGTGGCTTTAAACCTACGACTGCTGAAGATATGATAGTCGATTTCAGTGTCATAAAATCGTCAACTCCAACTGCTATGCAGCCAATGATACAGCAGGTATATGACGCTGAAAATTTCTCGATCTGGAACATTTCTTGAATTACATTCATGAGATTTGAATACTCTTAATCTGATTTTTATGAAAATTTCTTAATTCTAAACATTTGAATAACTTCACCTTGGAAAAGTTTTCTAAGTATATGGTGCTATAGGCATTTCAGCCTGGTATGGATAAAGAAGTGGAGCAGTTTGTAGCAGCCTTACAAATGCTCATACATGAAATCGATTCGATATTATCAACTTATGGAGTGCCAACCTATCGAGCAAGTGCTGCAATAGCCAATATTCGAGATGCGGTATCGCAATTATCATCTAATCCTCGTGAACCAATCCAAATGCATAATTGTATTCAGCGTATTGTCGAGCAAGTATTGTGCTCGTATAGGAATGCAGAACTTCAGCAGCATCATTTAAGTATGTAATTTATTTTTGGGTACGGCTGTTTAAAATGATCATTCATTCTCAATAATGTAGATCTTTCATAATATATAAATAATAATCGTTATACAGCATATCACAACTTGCATCGTAGTGCATTACTTGTAGTTGTACCTTAAAAAATGCGGTACTGCGCACTTTTTCAAAGTACTTTAAGAAGGTTACTAAATAAGTACTGGTTTTTATTTTCGCAAGTTAATTTCACGCTAGTGATATCAAAGTGACACATTCTTCGAGGTTAGAACCCATTAATTCCTGAGTGCAGTACTTTTATAAATAATTTTACTGAAGCAATTTTTTACACTTAAGCGCCTCCGGAAATAGATTGGAATCGAAGATTAAAAGATGTTTTTCTCCAAGTTTGTCGTATTCTTCTTACGCAAATACCATTGGGTGATTTGGCTCGTCGCATCACTCGAGTAATTGTGGATTGCCGATTGGATTACCGATTTAATGTTGATGCTATGGATTTACTTGCAAAGCATATGCTGATTCAAATGAATGTATATGACCAGAATTTAGCTATGTTAATCGATAGTGGCAGCAATTTTGAGGTCTCTTCCGGTGTATTTTTTTTTACATTTATTGCTTTAAAGCTCTGAAATGAAGTAATTTCTAAATTTCATAGCGGTGTCAGTATTGACGTTTATAACTTAGATGATTTTTTGATTATAGTACTGGAATATGAAAAGGTTTTGCCGATAAATTTTAAAAACCTGCAGTAAATATCAAATGGTTTAAAGGCTTTTCATGTGTTAATCCTTCTTTGATTCTTGAGATGAGCTGATTTTGTAGTAATTGGGGTAATAAAATAAGCATATTTTTTCAATGCAGGCGTTGATATTTGCTCAGCGTTTTCTGAAATTATTAACCATAAATAATCCAATGCATTCACGACAAGCAGTTTCGGAAACAATGCCACTGACGATGGAGCAGCTAGCAAAAGCTCAGCAGTTTGGGCAGAACAGACCTACCCCTGAAAGGTGTGCTGGATTTTTACGTTTAAATAATTATCATTCAAATTTTCAGTTATGCTTATAAATTAAATATTTAGTTTTACAACAACAACAGTAGCACTTGCTAGCGACGTTACAATTATCGGCTCTCGAAACCTTACCTCTCTTCCACCGCCTGCAACTGTTGCTGATCGCATGCATAGCAATTTACCAGGATCACTAACCTCATCGTTGCCACCATCTGTTTCTGTAGGAAACGGCTCACATTTACGTAACGAAAACGTGGATGATGCTTCCGAATTGCAGAGTAAAGTAGAAATGATATTGAGGGAATGGATTCAACTTTGTTACACACCACAAGCACAGAAAGAACCTCAGCAAGCTTTAGCACAGATTGTTCATGTGGTAAGACCTTTTTCTACTCTTTACATTTGATAGAAGGTGAAGTTGATTTGGTTTTTCAGATATTTGCTCATTTGCTTTAAGATGCACGAATGAATAAAGGCTTATGAAGGGAAAAAATTCGGAATATCTGAATTAGTTTGAATTTTTCTGAGTAGCACAAATGTAGTCATACATTTGCAGATGCATGAGCAAGGTGTTATATCAACAGATGAAATGATCACACGGTTTTTCCGTTTGTGCACTGAAATGTGCGTTGATGTATCATATCGACTAATTAAAAACGATGCCAATGGCCATCACACAACAGTTGTGAGACAGAGATGTTATTACACACTAGATGCTTTTGTCAGACTTACATGGTTACTTTTCATTTTGCAAAGACATTTATTCATTAGAGTCTTGAGTTCTCGAATTGTTTCTTTAGTTCAAGAGTTCATTTATTTCAGTTTAATGATTAAACATAGTGATGGAAGCCAATATCAAACGAAAATCAATTTATTGAAGAAAGTTTTGAATATCATCACTAATGTGTTGCATTTGGACCATGAGGTTTCTTTGAAACTACCTTTTAAAAACATTTAATGAACGAGGAGGATTACGGATTTTTAGTCTAACTTTTATATATTTGAATTATGGCGGTAAAAAATTTGCTCATATTGTGGTCAAAGTATAATAAATAATAATGGCTGATATATTTAAAACTTTTATCATTATTATTGTCATTATAGTAATTGTATTATCGGAACTTTTTGATATAGGTTCGTGGCACTGATTTTCATGCAATGCCTTATCAACGGATTTTTGTCATCATGTTCTGTGAATTGACTGCTCCAGACCCAACGTTGGATGTAATTTCGTGGCATATTTTAGAGGCCTTTGGGTAATATTCACCGCTGTTTTTTTATTTATTATATTATTTTATCACTATACTTGTGTTTTGACATTACAGGCAGGCTTTATTTCTCTTACAACCAAGACGAGTTCCTGGTTTTGCATATGCATGGCTGGATATCATTGGACACAGGAATTTCATTGGACGATTACTAAAGGAAAGTGCAGAACCTATGAAAACATCTGCTATGTATACACAATTGATCATTTGCCATCTAAAATTTCTTACTCCCTTTCTCCGTAATATTCAACTTCCCAAGTCTATCGCCATGATGTACAAAGTAAGTTTTTTCATTTAGTTCATTTATTTTAAAAATCTTTTCTCTTAAAATGAACAGGTATCGCTTTCTTATTCTCATTCATCACTTTAGACTTCGCGAAGCGTCTAGTCTCTTTTCACTCATGAGATTTTATTTAATAAGAGCATTTTTTAAATGCATTCAGTAGTACTTAAGTTATACAGAGGTGTTTTTCCTGATTTCCAACTATTTCGGTTTACTAGTAAAGCATATCTATTATTTCATCCAGGGTACTCTTCGCGTTTTGTTGGTGATCTTGCATGATTTCCCAGAATTACTTTGTGAATATCACATAATTATTTGTGATACTATACCACCCAATTGTGTACAATTGCGAAATCTTGTGCTTAGTGCTTATCCAAAAAATATGAGACTGCCAGATCCATTCGGTTTAAATCTGAAGGTACATTTTAAATTACGGGAATCACGATTAGTTATTTTAAAGACGTTGTTAGTTTGGTGGTTAACAATAATGCATAGTTTTTTATTAGGTTGATAACCTACTAGAAATGACTCAAGAACCTAAGATGAATATCAATATGGCAGCAATCATTCCCCCTGAACTTAAATCGCAGCTGGATGATTATTTGATCACGCGCTCATCTGTTGATTTTCATGCTAATTTGCCAAGCCTGTTGCAGGTATATGAAGTATTTGTATCCACATAGGGCTTTTATCACTTTTTTATTTTGAGGCCTTGCTATCATTTTGCACTTGTTATGAAAAGTTTCAGGTTAGTAACATCCCAGGTTCCAAATATAATACAACAGTAATGAACGCTATTGTCATATATGTCGGGATACGTGCCATTCAAGCGATTCAAGAAAAGCAGCAGTGTATTACTATGACTACAATTGCGCACACTGCATATATGGATATTTTTCAGAATTTAACAGTGAGCTTGTGCTCTGAAGGTGTGCACTTCGTTTCATTGTTTTTAAATTGTTAAAAAAATGAATGAACAAGTGATATATTGCACTTTTGTTATAAAAAAGGTCGTTTAAAATATTGATATTTTTTGCGTGATATTTACTAACTGGAGCTTTTCAGGACGGTATTTGCTATTCAATGCTATAGCCAATCAGCTGCGTTACCCTAATAGTCATACTCATTATTTTAGTTGCACTCTGTTGTACTTATTTTTGGAAGCAAATACTGAAGTAATACAAGAACAAATTACACGGTAAGTAGCTATGAAAAAAAAAAGAGTTGTACTTACATTTTTTTGCACTCGTATTGTAAAAAGTACTTTTTTTTCTTCGTAATAAAACTGTTAGAGGTGTCAGTCTTTTTAGAATTTTGTTTGAACGCTTGGTTGCTCTACGTCCTCATCCATGGGGTTTACTGATAACATTTATTGAATTAATCAAAAACCCCACTTATGGCTTTTGGAAACACGAATTTGTTCGATGTGCTCCAGAAATCGATAGGTATGTATTTTTTTTCTTAAGTTATTGCTTTCGTTTCTGACTTCCAGATTTACTTTTCGCAAAATTTTTAGTTCATTGGGTAATTGACATGTAACCGTTATTCTAACTATTGTTTCAGGCTTTTTCAAAGTGTTGCAAACTCATGCATTACATCAAATTCGCGGCATGTAAATATGAGTGCACCTCATGCCTCACAGTTACCGACACGCAGTAGCCCTCAAGCTATACAAAATGTTCAATAAAAAAAAGTGATCTCGACGTATATATGACGAATTAGACATTTTTCCACACAACATCTTAAATTTTATTTGATTGAAATTTGGGATTAGATTTAGTTTTTTAGAACTAATTTCTTTTTTCCGAATCGCAGTGTCAGAGTTTGCCAATTCTAATGTATAGTAGTTTCGTTAGTAAGGAAAAAGCCATGTTTTTTTTAAGATTCGCAGATTTTTAATTGTATACCTTTATGACTCTTTGTTTTCTGTGTTTCAGTATTTGATTATCATGTATACACCATGTATGAGATTTATGCCTTCGAAGTTTGTTGTTCCTCTTATTTAGTTTCCTGTTTATGTGTAAACTAAGCTTGTTCTATTTCTCGTAAGAAGTATCTTTCTGATTTGGTACATTATTGTAAAATTCTGCCTTCACATAGGAACTATCGTATTGATGAGCTGCATTTCTCTGCATTTCGTCTTGCATAATCGCTGGGATGTAAGTTGCAAAAAATCTGTTTTAATGACATAAGTTGTTTAAAAAAGTTGAGACTTTGTTTTCGAGCATGCTAGGAAGTATAATGAGACGTTTAATTACAATCGCTTGCCGTAATTATTGCATGTTTGAATGGTTTGTGTTTATCTTTAAATTACTTTTACAGTTCAGGAAATTCATTGATGAATTTTTTCACTCCTTGACTTTTTTGTTTTCCCAATTCTTTAACCCTTATTTTTGGCGATCCTGTTTTTTAATATTGACGATCTACACGTGCTTCCCGCGCTAGTTTTTGTCCATCTTTTGCAGCTCTGTCTGGCTTTTACTTTTTCTCAATTTCTACGTAAAAGTGTGGTCTGTGTGTGTGTAAAGCTATAAAAGATTTGTTTACTCAGATCTTTGCTAATGTAGTTGTGCTAAGAAGTCAGAAACTAAATGTATTAGAAGCGAACCTGTAAAATAATATAAGTCGTAAGGTAATGACGTTCCGTTCATATACCAGTAGACAATTGTGATGGTAATATTTGATTAGCAGTTCGAAAGGAATGTAAAGGGACGTCAACGATTTTTCAATAGGGGTAATTAGTTTGACATAATGATGATGTACAAGGACTGTATTTAAGGTGCACGTCGAGCATATACTAAATATTCAAAACATTGGTGGTGTGAGGTTTATAGCGAGAAAAGAATTTTGCAGTAAGTATTGTTGGGAGAACTAATTCTCGTTTAGGGTTTCCATAATTTTCAAAATATTCGATATTGTCATTCGAAATGTTTGTGTTAGTGAAATATTAGTACAAAGGCAGAAGTAAGACCATTCTAGGCATGTTTAGGTGCTGTCTATGGATTGTATTTCGTATATGTTATAGTCTGTATTTGTTAACGCATGTCAGGGAATTAGCTTCACTAGTAATTAATTTTCGATTTTTTAGTGAGTAGTTATCACACATTTTGTGTATTCAGCAAATATCCAATATACTGCTTTAAGGCATTTTTAGTCTGCTGCACTTTCCACATTAGCATGAGAAGTAATGCCTTGATTTGTTTTGTGGTTTGCGGTTGAAGGATTCGATGATGAGTGACATGGTGCTTCCATGACAATCACTTTTTGAAACTTTGCTGTTGTCGCCACGACTGCTTCTGGATTACAATTAGATATTTTGGTCCTAAAAAAATCCTATATGACACTATGTCGTTTACTGTGAAAAAATTTCTTGTTACAACTGAAATTTGATTAAACAAAAATATAATTACTGAAATCCTTGTACAACAAATGCTTTTCATGATTCAGTATGATTAAGTGAGATTTAAGTATAGTTAAGTAGTGATTAATCATTTTAAAGTGCAATAGAATTTTTATGTCGTATGTACTCCCGAAATTGTTGAGAAAAATATAATAAAAAATTTGTCTCTTTTGATCTCTTCAGATATATTGAAACAAGATCATCGATCGTAAAGAATGGGATAAAATAATTTCCGAATAACTATTTAACAGATTTATAAAAACTAAAACTACCATTTTAGCTCATGGCTTTATTGTACTAGTGAAATATTAGTACAGAAGCTGAAGTAGGGTCATTTTTCATCGTATTATTGAAGTATTCTTTTGATTCTTAGAAATTCCACTAGATTCTAATTTTTTTTACCAATAACAGAATGGAAAAAAATGTATAATATTTCTGCAAAAACAAACTGTCAAACGGATAATGTGAACCTCTGGAAAAGATATTGTTGAATAATGCTAGCAAACACCATGAATACCGCGCAGCAGTAGAAAATATTTTGACGTGATAGATTTTGCAACAAAATGATAATAACAATAATATTCAATGGAATGCGGCAAAAGTTCATTATGGTTGCTCGAGTATTTTCATGAATGTAAATACCACGCATTACACCCATTGCAGGCCAAAATATTCCAATGCAAATCTCAAACAATATAAATGCTACAAATATGATGACCGCTTCTTTGGGCCATATAGTAGGTGTAATTAAACAAAATGCCGATAATAGTAATACAAATCTGAAAGTAAATAATTGAAGGATAGAAAAATGATAGTAAGTGAACTTTGTTAGGTATGGTTGAGTTCATTTGTTATCACTTTTAAACTGAAAAAATAAGAATGTATCTTAAAGTATAAAATGCCGTTTGAAAAGCTGATAGAGTAGCCAATGGTTAATATTTTAAATAGAATAATTAGTGCCTGACGTTTTGATAAAATAACTGAACATATAAGAGAAAAGTGTCAAAAAAAAGTCTTGTATTCTTACAAGTAAAAATTATAAATATTTCTTCTTTCGAATCATTAAACATAACATTTGAAAATAATTTTTCGTTTATTCAACTGACATATTTAATTGTAGTGTAGTTAGAATACATTTGGGATTTCTAGGGTACATATTAATAATTACAATTTATCAGCTTTTACTAATGTTAGAAGAAAATTAAACTTACAAACTGCTTCCAGTTATAAAGAACCTTAATCGTTTCGTAGATTCATTATGATCAAGATAAGTAATGCTCAAAGATTGATGACTTCTTTAAAAGTAATATAGACTGGTTGATTTGTTAAATAGTTATTTTTAAATATTCAAATTATAGAAAACCTGAGAAACGAATCAGGTCTTTGGTACTTGATAATTAGTCTGAAAATCGTTGAACCTATCATAACTGCTACCATGAATGAAGCGAAGATATATCCATGTGAGACCATTCCATTATAAGCATCAGATAAGGAAGGAGTCCATTGTAATACAAACATATACATAGCTCCTTCGAATAAACTCTGAATCAATCCCAGACATAAGATTTTCTGGTCTAAAAATACTTTCTCACATTGTGTCATTTGTTTATATAATAATCTCAAAATATAATGCAAGCATTCTATTATACTTTATTATAATATACAATAAATTTATTAAAAATCATCCTTTAATAATGGGAAAAAAATCTTCGGCGAAGGAAAAAAATTGAAATCTAATTCAAGTACTTGCCATTTTTTATAGCATTGAAAGCATTAATGAATTGCTCACTGAGAATTACTTTTTCAGAGCCATAATTTTCAGTCCAACAAAACATTGCACAAAATGCCATCATGATTAATACTGCAAGGGATACGTCGAATGGAGCTCTACAATAAACTATTATTTAATAGATCTATTATAACCGTTAATTTTTGAAAAATTTAATTCCAACATTTCGGTAAAAAGCAAAACATTATCTATGTTTACTTACGTAAACAAAAATGAATGTTGAAGCAGTGATATTTAAGTATTGAAAACCATTACTGCACAGTTTTAATTAAATAATCTCTAATTAGCAACAAATATTTTCGTGATTGCATTAGACAAATTGGAATTAAATAATAATAACTGCATATTTAGAAAGCTGATTGAAGCATTAAAACGAACACGTAACCGAAAATGTCTGCAGCATACTGCGCTATCACCCCACAAATAATAGCTACAACAGAATTACCTAAAGCAGCGTGTGAAAATACAGTTGACAATAAATCTTTAGAAAAACCTCTCTGAAAATGCTAGTTATCACAACAGTAAAATGAATTTAATCCTAATCAATCAAGAATTGCAAATTTCATTCATTATTTGAAATCCAAATTAAAAAAGGCCTCATTTTACATTTGCAAAAATGTGATACTCAAAGAATAAAAATAAAGTCATAAGCATTTATATAGATTCTAACTTGTTAAATTTATAAAAATCAAATTTTTTCTCCAAAAAAATAATGATAAAAATAGCTATTTAGCTGGAAAACTGGCAATCAGCACGATAAACAAACTTTATTATGTTCAAAGATAAGCCATGATTCAAATGCACTGCAAAGAACTGACGTTGATATGCCACTGAATATTCGACCAATTGTTAGAATCCAAAAATTTGAGAAATGTATTGTGATGCATGCCACACCATATAACAAGGAGTAGAGCAGACAATTTGATCGACGTCCACTACAAAATTCCCTATCTCAAATATAAATTTTAGTGTAATTGCTAGGATAGCAAAATTAAGACTGATTTTAATTTGAGTAATTGAGTAGAATTAGTCTAAAATATATTATCCTAGCAATTATTTTATAATTTGTAAATAAAATTATAAATAAAATAGAAATTTTAAAAAAATGCAAACTTTACATTGTAGTAAAAATACTGAAAAAGTTATTAAATACATTTTTTGAAATAAAGTATACCTAAAATTGTAAAAAAAAATACAGAATTAATTTTGATTACTTTATCAGAATATGATTGAAAAAAATTTAAATCTTAGTACATTCTCATAGAGTTTTTTCTTCAATTTTTATATTTTTTATTTGTGAAATATATTTTAAAAAGTCGTCTTCATATTTTTTCACTCTGCCATCAAATTTTTTAAATCATTTAAAGATGATTTATTCTGTTGCTAATGTAATTAGTTAATAAGTAGCACTTACTATTTGTCAGCAATGGAAGCAATGAATGTACCAAATATAAGGCTAGAAGCAAAGCCTGCAACAAACAGAAGTTCGATCTCATGTTTTGTCATCCCGTAAGAATCATATAATGCGTATACATGTGGCCCTTGAAGCCAATCACCAGCTGAAATTCATTCATTATATAATAAAATTTGAAAATTTATAAAGCTTCTATGAACGTATATTAATTACTTATCTAAGAATAACAACAGATGATCAAATTTAAAAAAGGCTAACCTACAGCGAGTAAATACACTAAAAGATATTCAATTTGAAATTGTCGGAATTTAGCATCCCCATTTGTAGAAACTTTACTTCGTGTATACAAATATTGGATGATGCAAATAACAAGAAGCAAATAGAAGCTCCACACAAAAAACATTCAAGTTATCTAAAATTGAAAAATTAGAAAATAGAGTTTTGCAAAAATATGGTTATCACGAAATAAATGCAGATTAAGCACAAATGACTTTTGATGGCTGTATAACCAGTATGATGAATTAAAGCTTTTTTTTAATATTATAATTATAAACTAACATAATTCATATTATGATATTATAATTATAAACTAACATACTCTCAAATATCACAGATTCATTATTTTTGTTATTATTGAATCACTCTATAAGTTTTATTTGTAATCATTTTAATTAAATAGCCAGGATTATCTTCAAAGTAGAAACCAAAATAACGATGTTATGATCATTGTAAATAAATACAAATAAATTTACCTTCAGACATGCAAGTGAGTGGAAATTTAAAAATGAAAAATTCTACCTAATAATTCAGAGTTTTACTTCTTCTCAAAATTAGTCTTACACAGCAGTTCACGTCTTTTCCATACGGAAAGAATTGACTTCATAATATAACTTGTACAGAAATATCCATCATGTGTCAAAAAAGCATACATATAAAGTGTTGCATGCTCCGGCAACTAATCTTTTTAATACAGAAAAAATCCATCTCGCATTATGTATTCTTTCTACGAGTCAGTTTCAAATTATCAAAAAAAATTAACTTTATTGCAAAAAATATTTCTTATTTAATTTGAAAAACTGAAATTTGCATAATGAAGATAACAGAATTGATTACTCAATTGATGCTTGCTGACTGCTAAATGCTTAGTTTAGTATTTATATAAAGTGAACTAGAATTTACTTGTTTAATTTATAAAAAAGAAAAACTGATAACAAACATGAAATGTAAGACAAATATTAATTAATTTCAATCGCAATATTAAATGTGTCAATCACTGCTAATTTATATGCAAGTTAGTGCTTGCTAGAAATTACTTTTTAGCAAAAAACAGAAAAAAAAGTATAAAATGCGATAAATGTAGAAAAAATGACCTGAAATAGACTAAATATTGCACAAATAATTTGAAAAATAAGCCTGACAAGCAGTGTACTTTGAGCACAATTACACAACGGAACGAAAATGCAAGAGGAGAGAGAAAATGACATTCACTCAATTCGAAATGAGGAAAATATTCAAAAAAAACAAATGCAATTACTTATTGCGTGAAAGAATTACTGCTTATTATGCGATATTCAATCTAATTCTGAACTGTTTTAGCTAACTAATACGAAATTAATTAATAATAAATTTTAATAATGCTATATGTGATGATTAAGTTCAATAGCACTCATTTCTTTACAGTTGTAATAAAAGTTTTTTAGAGTAGCATATTTATATTTGAATAAATATAATTTTTGTAAAGTTATTAATCGCTGTCACTACTACTTCTGTAATTGCAAAGTTTGCTTGATGTGTTTTTCATTACAAATCAATGAAAACAATTCTAATATGGGAGAAATAATCGGTTGAAAATGAAAATTTTTTTTGAGACTGACATATCTTGTAATTTTATGATTCAGAAAATTTTTAGAACAAAAAACTGAAAGGTTATCAATTTTCTCTCAACGATTTTTCTTCTTTTTTTTTGTTTTCACTGTATGAAATTGAGCAGTATGCATGCAAGTTAGCATGTAAGTAATGTTTCTTTACAAATTGGCCTTGAAATTATAAACTGAAAAAAAATTATGATAGGCAATCAGCTGCATGCAATTTAATTCTTCAGCTACATCCATTTTTGCATAAATGATTTATTCTGATAATTTTCATAAGTAAAAAAAATTTTCATATGTAAAAAAGGGCATTAATGCGAGAAAATAAAATAAATGCTCGCTTACAATTTATTCTTTATTTATACAAGTTTTTACGATATTCTGTCAATCTTATAGTCGAAGTAATTTGCTTGAGTAATTTTACTTTATTAGAATAGAAATTGATTAATTAAAAAGAATAAGTCATACCTTTGCAGAAAACATGATAACTTGAGTGCTGTAATGTAATTTTAATTATAACTTTTATATTTTCTTAAGTAGAAATAAAATTTTTTTTTTAATTAAAGATTTAATTGAAAGATAAAGCACTGCATCAGAAAAAATGGGAGATGCATATGAAGTGATTGGTCCTACTATTCCCTATGCACCACCACCACCATCTCCTACGAGTCCTGAATTAATACAGTCACCATACCAACAAATATCATTCCCACCACCACCACCACTAGTTCCCATGTTTGCTTTACCCATGAAAGATACACCACCGCAACATGCTGCATTACAAACAGATTCGAAACTGTCTCGGAGTGAACAAGGTAATTATCTAATGTTGATGCAAATTTCAGCACTTCAATAATCTTCATTTTAATGTAAAAATTATCGTGAAAAAGCAACGGGATTACATGTAAAACCTACTTAGATTAAAATATTATCAACCTCGATATAATAAGAAATATAACAATTCATTACGATGATATCTTAGGCACCACGGCTTGCTTCAGAATTATTCTATCTTTCAGATAAATCAATATAAAAAAGTATTGTTAGTCATTTTAACATTTTTTGCTATGAAAAAGTTGCTGTGCACTAGTCAAGAATTTAATTAAATTTAAAGGTTTGATGAAGGTCTTTCAAGCACCGAAAGCAGTAAGTTTCTCTTGATATTCTATATTGTTCTCCTTATTCATTTCAATCTTTTATTCATAAATTATCAGCTATTCGAATTTACAACAGTTATCTGCAAGCAAAATTATATGTAACATTTTGTATTATGAATACATCGTCAAGGCGATATTTATCCAGAATACTCAAGTTTTTAATTCCATGATGTTAACAATAATTACCAAAATTACTTTAAAGGAAGTAAATGAAAGTGAAAATGAATTCGGTACTGTTTCATTATATGGTTTCAACCAAGGTTATATTTGACAATACTGAGATCTCAAGGGAATACTTGCGCAGTTTTTCACATCGTAAAATTCAAATATACATTCTGCAACAATTTGCAAATTATTTAGTCCCTTCCAAAGTCCTGGACTTGCAAAATTTTTTAATGATTACGGAGCAAATAGATATACAGTCTTAACTTGACTAGTAAAGTTGCTGAAGTAAAAACTTTAATATTGGAATTAAATCGAATTTCAGGAAGGCAAAACCAAGAAAGAGTGAGAACTGTACCTACAAAAACTGGGAAAAGAGTGATGTTTGTGATGTCTATCTGTTTCGGAGTTTCACTTTTTTTATTTTTTTTCGCTATGATATTATTTTTCCTTCAGATTTAACAGTACACCAATAATTTGAATATTTGAGCACCTCAATATTTCAGCCTCATAATTTGCCTTCTATAATTGTTACTTATGGTGTTTTTAATTTGTTTCAAGTATTCTAAAAGTGCTTATAAATTCAAAATGTTACTTTTGAGAATTATTATATAATACTGTAAACTTTTTAATATTGACAAGCTGGAATCGTCGATGCCAAATAGTTTTAGCCCCATGAAACAATTATTCCCAAAATGATAGTAAAACATTTTTTTTAACTTTATAAGGGATAAAATTAAAATAGCTTACAAACAGAGGAATTTTGAGTTACCGCAATAACCCACCAAATCTTCATTACATTTAGCTCACAAAGCTCCAATTTCTCTAATAAAAGAGAAATAATTTTAAAGCAGTCAACTAAAAAAAATAACTTAAAATGATTTCATGGTAAAAGCAAGCACTTATTAAGGTTAAGAGCACACTTTTCACAGTCCGTTATGAGACAGATAATAATTACTATCTTATTTATAATGTTTTATCAAAGATTGGAGCGTTAATGTTAGCCAAATTTCATATACTCAAGATATGCACAAATTTTACAAGAAAATCCAATGTCGGAACTACAAACCTATGTACGGTAAGAAAACCACTAGCAAAAACTGTTCCTTAAAGAGTGTCATTTTCCTAAAGAGATCGAAATCGATGTATTACACACTTATATTACTGCATTTGTACATGCGTCTTTCGAATGTCTGCAGTGAATGATATATAGAATAAAACACTACTACAAATAAGTCAGTTAGAACTGAACAGTGAGGAATTATTTAAAAAAATAAGTACAAAGCAGTCACAATTATATAAGCAAGTTGAACAAGCATAGTCAGCACATTTTAAAATTCAAATGCAGGTAATGTTTTGATAAAAACTTGCTTATATTATTTACAACTCAGCTGTATTTGAAAAGTCTTTATCGAAAACAGTTTCGACTAAATTTTATAATATGAAAAATGTGAAAATAAGAATCCTGCAACAAATAAATTGCTTAAAGTCTTACCAGTGAAAGAATTTTGACGCGTCAAATACATACAAAATTATTGTCCATGTGCATCAAAAATATTTTCAAATGAATTATAAATCAAAAAAACTTTGAGAAACTGATGCGTGACATAACATCTCACACATTAATATTTTTACATCTTAAATTTCTCATAACAACACACGTAAACTGATCCTGTGAGCTGCAGTTATATACAGAGAACATAAATGTATTTCATATTCTCGTTATTAATCGAGAAATAAAGTTAAGAAAACAAAAAAGTTCTAATTGAAAACAGTACTCATTTAAATCCCTGAATAAAGCCAGAGTCAACAACCATATCTTGTATTTTCGCACGTTCATCATTTATTGAGCTAAAAATATTTACTAATCAACTTTTTCCATTCATGCAATTGAAACATTCTCACTAGTGCGATACAATATATAATGTTCTATTACAAATAAAATTTCATGCAAAAAAATTTGTCGATCAATAAGACGGAACTGATTAAAAATAAAATTTTTGTGTTCTAATGTATATCAGAGAAATCTTACTTTGGATTCAATTGAAAAAAAATCTAACTCAAGCATGAAAACACTAACTGTGCACACTCTTGCTTCCTTCGTTTCATTGCTGGTCCTTCTTCTTGTTCTTCACTTTCACTACCGAAGATGCGACGTGTGCTGTTACTAAATAATTTTATGCCTGTTTCTTCATAATTTTCACTACTTTTCATTTCTTGCACTTCCATTTCTTTAGATGCTTCAGCATTATCTGTATAAACCATTCGAATGCGACTGAAAAACAATATCAAAAATATATAAAGATAATGAAAGTAAAAAAGACTCAAAAAATTTTTTAAATTTCTGCGTTAGGTTAAAGACATGCCGATTTGAAAACAGCGATAAATATTCAAATGTAACAATATTTCAACTCCAATTAAATACAAAATATTCTGGACAACTGAATAATTAGAAATAACTAGAGACCGATGCAAAGAAAATTACCTTGCAATCGCTTCATCCAGAATCTGTCTCATTTCGTCCTCTGCTTCTTCATCTGTCTCAATGATTTTTTCGTTTACCTCCCAGTTCTGGTCATCCACCTCCATTACATCTTCTTCATTCATTATTTTCTCCTGAATGTATGATTTCCACACATTTTGAAAGAACTCTCTCAACTTCTTCGCACTGAAAAATTCACAACATCCACACCTAGTTATGACTGAAATGGCATTACCTGACTTCATTTCTCTGTACCCCATAAATTAAAATGAAATCAAAATGCAATGTTTATCTCGCAAAAACTAAGATTTCTCTTCCATGTGCACAAAAATTTAAAACTGTACACGATAGTAGCTGATAATTAGATGACAGAACTATCCATATTTTTAATTTCAAATCTTTCATACATAATATGTACCGTCATGGAAATCAGTAACTGTTTGATCAGGAAACGATAAATGAAGAGATTTGAAACAAAATTCGCGTATTTAATAAGTAGAAAGACAAAGCCATCACTCTATACAAGTAAAAATATATACAACAAAACAATGTAGAAAGATTGTCTAAAACATAAAAACATTATTCTAAAATCTCATATTAATCTGCAATTGATGACACATGAATGTAGATGAACACATGCGTACATGCTACAAAGAACACGGAAGACGATGACAAAAGGACACTACCGAACTCGTAACTGTCGATCTATAAGAATATACTAAACTGGTATGTAACTATAGTGTATAATGTTCACAGATACTGCGTACAGACATAATATATATAATCATTAATAATATATACAATCAACTAAGTTCCTTTCAATACTATAATGCATATCTGCATATATACTTTTATGTTCGTCATTAGTAACAACATTTTTGAAAGAAATGTTTAAGCTCTATATTAAAAAGACAGACAACACTGATAACAATCTATGAAATGGAGCTCAAACTTCTTGAATAAACGTAGATCAAGCTAATCCTTAAATGAAGTATTAAAAAAAATGACTTTACACTAAAATACTTGAAAGCAATGAAAACATAGCTATAGCTTACTGAAAGCACTAGAAACACAACTACTACACAAGAAAATCAAATGGGAAGTACTTAATAATTAAAGACGTAGGACCCGCGACAAAAAATATATGATAAAGCTGAAAGACTTCTCTAATTCTAAATTCTAAATTCAAAAATTTAAGCAGAAAGAATAAACATTATTAGTGATTAAGTTTCACAATAAAATTTTTGGCAAATAAAAGTCCACTTAGAAATTATAACATGACTATTATCCATACCGTTTTTTTGAATAAGCACTAATTATGGTTCTTTTTAACATCCACATTAGTAGTTCTTAGAAATTAAATTACACAGATAATAGCAAGCTCCCTAACAATGTATATGTGAAAACGACTTTAAGTTAACTAAGCTCAAAACCAGTTTCAGAATGTATAGCATATCTCAATTTCTGCAACAAAACTGATTTTTTACTATAGTTTGGCAACTTCAAAAGATTGAAACAAGTAGATGCTGTAGGAAGTCGTGAAGGAGATTGGCGCTTTTTAATAGCCAAGAAGCCACGCACTACACTCGCTAAAGTATCACCTTGGTCCTGAAAAATTATTTAAAAGTCTATTTTTATTCAAGAGATAGTGAAAGTGGAAAAAGGAATTATGTTTATGGAATTCCGAAGCAACCTGGTCATCGGATACTTCAACACATCGGATTGAGAAAGGAGGTTCCAAATAAGCGAAGCCAAGAAGTGGCGCGCGGGAACAACTCGTAACAAACTAAATAGATAATTTAGTAAATAACAACTTACTGTAAATGAATTAAAAAAACGAAGATCGCGTAAATCGATATCACTAAACCGAAAAACTATTTTGAGGTGTTAGAAAATGAAATACTGGATTAAAACTTCATCAGACATAGATTACAACTTTTTTTTTGGATTAAAGTTTTTGAAATTTTTCTCGCTTTGATAAATCATCGCAGTGCACTGCAAATGAAAAATCCTACAGACCACATAAAAGAAATAATCTGATGCAACAAATATTTCATACAGCTGCTTTATTGAATTTTTAATGCCCTAACTTTTAAAAATAAACGACGCTCTTCAGCAGTGAAATCACTTTCTAGAATCTGCCAAAGCCATTTGATAACTCGATGGTTGTTATGAAATCCACCGTAATATTGCACATGTTT